AAAAAAAAAAAAAAAAAAAAAAAAAAGAAACGAAGATGAGAGAGGTAATGGTAATTGATATGAGAGGCAATGTCTGTGCCAAAAGATATACAGTTGAAGTCAAAATTATTAGCCCCCTTTGATTTTTTTTCTTTTTTTTTAATATTTCCCAAATGATGTTTAACAGAGCAAGGAAATTTTCACAGTAATATATATAATACTTTTTTCTTCTGGAAAAAGTCTTATTTGTTTTATTTAGGCTAGAATAAAAGCAGTTTTTAATTTTTTAAACATCATTTTCAGGTCAATATTATTTGCCCCTTTAAGCTATTTTTTTTCAATAGTCTCCAGAACAAACCATCGTTATACAATAACTTGCCTAATTACCCTAACCTGCCTAGTTAACCTAATTAAGTTAAACCTTTAAATGTCACTTTAAGCTGCATAGAAGTGTCTGGAAAATTATCTAGTCAAATATTATTTACTTTCATCATGACAAAGATGAAATAAATCAGTTATTAGAGATGAGTTATTAAAACTATTATGTTTAGAAATGTGTCGAACAAATCTTCTCTCCGTTAAACAGAAATAGGGGAAAAAAATAAACAGGGGGGCTAATAACTCAGGGGTACTTTGGGAGAAGTTGCGAATTAGTGAATGTAACTCAAGTATACAGCGACAAGATATAACTTCAGCAGTAGCAAGACTTTTCATAGATTCCAGACGTGACATTTAACAATTAGAATGTATTGAGGAAGTATTTAAGTCATAGAGGAGGTTTTCTGAATAAACGATTATTATAAAGAGAAGCGTTCTGGTATCATACATTTAAATCACTTACACCGAGAGGAATGAATGAGGAATTGAACCTTTCTGTGTTTTAATGGTTTGTTGTTTAGCTATAATATTGTGCATCATGGATTTTGAGGATGTAATGATACAAATAATGAGATGAAAACTTAATTTTTTTATGTTTTGGACTGTCGGGATTTCATTGCATTGATGTAGACATGAATAAGTGAATGATGATAATTAATATGCTATTTTCCTGTGAAATTATGTGTTTAAAGGTGAAGGTAAATATTTCTTGTGTGGTTAATTATGGTATAATGAAATGAAAATGAGATTGTTTTTAATTATTGAGTGGCTGTCTAACTCAGGGGTTCCCAAACTTTTCAGCCCGCGACCCCCAAAATAACAATGCCAGTGACTCGCGACCCCCAATATGCTCTGAGATGGTTATAAATACAGAAACCTTGCATGCAATGGCACACATACACTAATAGACCCAAGTCTATTCTTGGTTTAATTTTTTAAATGTATATCAGTGCTGTAAATATGCCAGAAAATTTTACCTGGTATTATAAAATCAATCTGTGAACGCTGGTCAGTCGGAGGGTGGGTCAGTCAATTGCTCAGTCAGTGGACAGCGGCTTCCTGGGGGATTTATGCAAGAACATTAGGTGCGAATGGCACTCGCGAGAGAAATTTGAGATCTGAAAAAACATACACAGCGGCCTCTGGTGGATTCAGGAAAACTAGAACTGTAAAAATATGTATCTCCTGGGACGTATTTGGCACTCTCCAGAAATATCTATAGCGGTACATTTTCAGAATGAGCCTGGGTTGGTTTTATCAGTTTTGAACCGTTCAGTCGATCCCCAGGTCTGTCAATAGCACTTTTAGCTTAGCTTAGCATAGATCATTGAATCGGATTAGACTATTAGCATCTCATTACAGAAGAGTCAAGCTTTAAATAGGATAAGCTTTAAACTGGTCATGTTTAAACAAGATGCTAATGGTCTTAACAGATTCAATTATTATGCAAAGCTAAGCTAAGCTAGAAGTGCTCCTGCCAGACACAGAAATCAGCTGAATGGATTCAAAAGTGGTGAAACGCAGCTGTTTTTTTATCTAGTGGAGTTGTAAAACCAGTCTGTTTTCTGTTAGAGGGACGTTTATCCTAAAAAGAGTGGAGCGTTTCTTTAAGTCAAATGTAGCCACCAAGCTGTACATTTTAACACAAGCATGATGTCAGGAAAGTGTAAATTTCACTTCAAAAGATTAAGAATTCTTGATTACAAAAACTGAGGTAAATAATTAACTGGTGCTTTCATAATGCTTTTCAATAAAATTCAAACCATTTTAATTAGCAAAGCGCATCAGCCCCTTGTTTTTACATTCATTCTAGCTTCTGGAAATTCAGATTTTTAGTCAGTGAAAGTCATTAAATTTAACCTAAGATTTAAAATTCTCAATCACCTTATGTGCAACTAAAGAAATGTAATCATTTTAAGATGCATGGCGAGACATTTAACCTGCATGGTGCAGTTTGTCATGCTCTGTTATAAGCCCTTGCATAATTTACAGTTTGAATTCAGAAGTTTGACTGTAAATAAGAATTGCCCTCATAAACAAGAGGTGATAAGCCCCTTCTCATTTCTGCATCACACCCCCTTGTCTCTGTCCTGCATTGTTTCACCACTCCTGCTTTTTGTGCTCTTCCTGACCCCCCACCACCACATGTATTCCTCCACCCCCATTACTTCACACCCTTTGCTTTCCCCTCCATTTATCACTGGACTTTTGTCATTCCTTCTTCTCATGTTTCCCCACAATCTATGCACCAGCCGTTCTCAGCCTTTGTGAATATCCTTCATATACTGCATGATAAAACATTTCCAGTCTCTCTGCTGTATTTATTGATAAAGCGAATCAACTAAAATGGATTATATATTTTCATAATTCAAAATAACTATTGAGAATTCATGCAATGATTTTTCATATGTAATAATTTATTTGTAATTGGTTAAATTTAATAAACTAAATTTAGAGATGCATGATATATCGGCGGCCATATCAATATCAGCCATTAAATGCTATTTTAACTGTTATCGTTATCGGTCCGATATCTTTAAGCCGATAGATTACGTAAATCTCAAATCGCTTTTTCGGACATTATATATTTGTCCATTTGTGCATTACTGGAACATTTGAGCATGTTTCAGTTTCTAGTTCTTTCATTTTATCTGAAAAATATATATTTAATTTTGGTAATTATATCCCAGTTTGGGAAATATGGTAATAATTCATTTTTGGCACACTGATTTATGGGAAATTGTGAATATAAGTCTATATAATCACCTTGCAATTGTGAATTTTTTTGTGCGATTTTTTTTCTTTCCACATTGAGGATAAGGCTATTCAGTTCAAACGATCAGTTCAAACTTTTATAAAGTTTTTAGAATACAGTTGTGTATTGTATAAAAATATAACATTTTGAAATATTTATATTTATCGGCTATAATATATCAGCTATCGGGCTCCAAATCTAAAGAGTTATCGTTTATCGATATCGGCAAAAAAAATTATATCGGTGTATCCCAAACTAAATAATTTCACTTAACTTGGTAATACAACATTCTGTATTCCAGAACACTGTTCTTCAGTAAAAACTACCAATTTTGTTAAAAATTATTTTAAAAAAATATTATAATTTCTGCTGTATTATCCCAGCAGGCACAGGATGTTAACATGACATAAGATTGATGTTGTACCACAACATCGTGGGGACATTGCATTTTGTTTGGAAATAAAAAACGCGTTGACGTCAGAACCCAACATCCGGCCAACGTCAATGTTTAATGTCAAACCTAAAATCAACCAATATCAATGTCTAATGATGTTACAGCTTGACGTTGTGTGCCTGCTCGTGTGATATATTTAGTGAATTTATGACTTTGTTGAATGTAATAATAATAGTAATGTTAGTGTTAGGAAAAAGGAATTACAAAGGACTTTTTAAACATATTTTTGTCTCTTTTTCTTTTCATTAAACAATTGTATTTATATTGCTTAAAGGTGATATTAACTGGACATCTTCTCGAGTGTGATATACTTTGCATACTGATGAAGCATTTTTGCAGAAGTAGATGAAGGTATCTAAAATTAACTTGAGCTTGGCAAAGAAACTTCCTGTCAGCGCAGAATTTGCAGTTGAGCTTTTTGTCGTTGTGCAGAGAAAAAGAAATTAATAGAAAAAGAGGGCGTATGTATGGGTGTGGCCAATGAAGGACTGGAGATTGATTGACAAGTGATGTTCACTAAACTCCGCCTGTTAAAAGCAGCTGCATATAAGTTGAAGTCAGGAAATGAAAGCTGTTACACACAATTTTTGGGAAAATTGATGGAAAATAACCAAGCATTTCTGCTTAATTATGCTAGATTCAGCTTTATTTGTATAATGAATTACTTAAATATATGGTAAATATCTTTAAGTCTATATATTTTTATATTCAATTTACATATCTTTAAGTTAGTAAATACAGTTATTTTATTATATGTTTTATTCAAAATATTTTGTTTAATTAAACTTTTTTAAGATCTAAGTTTAGAGTTGATTATTTTAAGATTTTAATAAAAATAATAATTCCTTACATTTATATAGCGCTTTTCTGGACATTTAAAGCACTTTTTGGGGAGGAATTTCCTCATCCACCACCAGTGTGCAGCATCCACCTGGATAACGCAATGGCAGCTATATTGCACCAGAGGAGACAGAGTGATGAAGCCAATTATGATATGGAGATGGTTAGGAGGCCATGATGGACAGAGGCCAGTGGGCAAATTTGGCGGGGTTAAACCCCTACTTTTTTTAAGGACATCCTGGGATTTTTAATGACTACAGAGAATCAGGATCTTGGTTTAATTTATTATCCGAAAGACTGTGCTCACTAAGCAGTATAGAGTCCCCTTCACTATACTGGGGGATTAGGACCCACACAGGCCACAAGTTGAGCGCCCCCTGCTGGCCTCACTAACAACACTTCCGGCAGCAACTTAGCTTTCCCATGTGGTCTCCCGTCTAGGTACCGACTGGGTGCAGCCCTGCTTAGCATCAGTGGGCAACCATGTGAGAGTTGCAGAGAGCTAGCTGCCGGCTAAAAGTAGATTAATACTCCGCATCAATACTGTGAGCTAATAGACAACACAACAATAGCAAAGGCACCGAAACCAGTTGATCCAGATTAAAATTTTTAATTAAAATATGAATTTATCCACAGATTAAAAACAAAAAGTAAAATGGAGCTACAATCAGGCACCAAAGAATACATCAGTTGTCCTTATATTCTGAAACAATTGCGATAATGCAACAATAACATTATTTAGTATAAGCTATCTACTTGTATATTTAGCGAATTTCATCATGATAATCTTTGAAAAAAGAAAAAGAAAAAAGAAGACATTTACCAAATGCTCTGCGTACATAAAATAGTAAAGACTTCAGATTTTCTCTCGTTTTCATACGCACGCACACATACAGTCCTGGCTTAGAAATTGGCCACAGAGAGAACAACACAAAAAGCACTAGCATATTAGCATGTGTTTGGCAGTGGGATGTGTGCGCGCACTGTAAATACATCAGTGATTGTGATTGTATTCCGATTCTCAGACTGCGAAGTGAATTTGTCATGCAAGAAATACCTTGTTTCACCTCGAAATGTGTGGAAGTGCAAACGTGTGGCTGCGGAAACAAGATAAAAGTGGCAGTTTCGACTACTATCACACACACGACAACAACTGCATGTGTTGCACTGAGTTAAGACAACCCAGCCTGATTGTGGTGGGAGTGGCCTGATGAACGACTCCGGCACTTGTGATTGGTTGGCCTGTGTGACTGACGTGCGAATAAGGCAGAACATGTTTCCAATGGCAGTGGTACATTAGCGGCACAGATGCTAAAAGCCCTTGAGCAGGCACAGAAGACGGGACAATCAGCACAACGCTATTCGTGTTCGACTTTAACTGTTGGGCTTTTAGTTCTAAAACAAATTTGTCCTCTCGATTTGCATATTAGCCTTTTATAGCCGCTAGCAGATCTGGATTATCATCTGTGGATGCGCTTGTTAGCCCTATTAAACTAGAAGATGAGAGCACCACAGCGCCCCCTTCTGAAGCACACAGCAGAGGTGGAGCTCGGTAAAGGTTTTAGCAGGCTAAAGACTGGACAGACCTCCATAAATAAAATAAATATGACACAAAAAAACACACCCGCTCTGCAGTACTGTAGTAGTCTGGGAAATCAAACTGATGGATCTGTCCAGAGACTCTTGTGTATCAGAAAAGACCCTGTTTAAGACTACAGAGGATGCACATACACACGTACCCGACCGCCGAATCGAACGAACGCACGCATACGTCTGCAAGATTTTGGATATACATTCTGAATCGTGTTTAACGCTCATCAAGAACAGTTACTAACCTCATAATGATTCATGCAGTACTATACAAAAAAAGTAAAAGAGATTAAAGATTTAAGCAGCATTTCCTGCTCATAAGACCCGTCAAAAGTTTGGACAAATGTTTTTGAAAGACGTCATTCAGACGACACGCTAAAAGTAAATGTTTTTCTTTGGCGTTTTTGTAGAAATTACATACAGATATTGTCAAAATGTTCACAAGGATTTGGTTAAAAAGATGCATGTCATGTCAGTCCAGTAGATGGCAATGTCAGTTTTTAAAGTAACACAATGTGCTGTATTGCACCATTGTTGTTTTGGTTGCTAAGCACTTGCTCACATGCTTATTGACCTAAAGCCTATTTCCACTGCACACGACAAACAACAAGCGACAGACCGGAAGTCATTTCCAATGGAGAGTAGTCCGGGAGTTCCTATCATCTCGGAAAATTTGAGCTGCAGATCTGTTGAAATATTTGAACTCCAGTAAATAGACAGTATGCGAACGACCGGATGAGATGTATTCCAGTGTTGTCCAAGCAAATCTGTGCGCGCGAGATGTAAAATAGTAGTTTTTTTTTTTTGTTATTTTTTGAATCAGAAAAAAGTCTAAATTGAAAAAAACAAGACATTTCTATTAATAAATGAGTCATAAAAAAGATTATTTTTAAAAGTCGTCTCCACATTCCCTCCATAATTTTTAAAGGTAAATGAGTTTTAAGTATTCATTCATTCAACCGCGGTGAACGTACAGAGAATAAAGGCTCTTGCATTTGCACTCCTTTATTTCGGACACTGCGAGGAAAGCTTCTCTCCCATGGCGCACGACAAAACTGAAAATTCTGTTCGACAGCCACAAGGTAGTGTATTCCGACAGTCATGACTCATGTCCAAATGCTGTGTGCAGTGGAAAGGCGGCTTTATTCTGAGATGAGTAAGTGTGCTTATTTTTGAGATTGTTTTAGAATTTCTGATTCAGTTGCCAATGGAAGAAACTATTATTAATTAAAACATGTCAGAAGACTACTATATCTACAAACAAATATGTTCATGACTATACGTAAAAATGTAGATCAATGTAATGTATTTGTTATTTAATTGTTGTTTTGGTTGCCAAGTACTTATACTTGACTATTGACCTTATTCTGCGAATAATCAATCGCATTACTGCTGCCGCTGCACTAATCCGCTTGTTTAGGTTCCATCCTTCCCTTATTCGTAAACAAAACACCAAGATACTTGAACTCCTCCAACCTGGAGATGGCAAACCACCTTTTTCCGGTGGAGCACCATGGCCTCGGACTTGGAGGTGCTGATTCTCATCCCAGCTGCGCCACACGGCAGCAAACCAGTGCATGCTGAAGCTCCATGTTCGATGAAGCCAACAGAACAACATTGTCTGCAAATAACAGAGATGAGATCCTGTGGTCCCCGAACCAGACCCTCTCCAGCCCGAGAAGGGGCAAGAACATTTTAATAATAAATATTCAATTAAAAATCAACAACCAAATGAATACATGAATTAAAAAAGATTGTTGACGCTAATATATGATTAAAAATCAAAAATTGTTCCCGGTGTCAAAAATGTATTATAACATGATAAGAAAAATTCAGTTTGCAAACTCAAGCAGCATAGCGAGCTGTTTTTAACGTCTTTAAAATCAATGGAAGCGAACGAAACCAAAAAGATTCCAATGGCTCCCTCTCGCATGTTAAGAATAAGGTCAATAGACTAAACACGTATGCATACGCATCAATTAACAACAGTTTTTACACGACGTCAATAACAATGTTTTCAAAAACGTGCAATTTGAAATCGTTTTTTAAAGTTAGCATTTTTAGACCCCAAAAAATGTGATTATGTAAATAAACAACCAAAACACTTAATGTTTTTCATTTAAAGTTTTTAGGTGAGGCAGCATTGAGTATGCTCACCGAAGGCTGCATCTGTTAGATTAAAAGTACAGCAAAAACATATCATGTTGAAATACGACAATTTAAATGAAATGTATTATTATATTAACTTATAATTTTTCTACCTAAATATATTTTTCTAAAATGATTTCCTGTGATGAAAATTATTTCATTTTTCAGTCATGATATGTGAATGATTTCTAAAGGATCACATGCAACTAAAGACTCAAATTACAGCAAAAAAAAAAACAAAACATTCAGCTTTGTGTTAATAATACTACATTTATAATAATAATCTAATATCATTTTAAAAGTATTTTTCAAGCATGAAAGTCGTCTTTCAAAAACATCACTCATCTTCACTCTTCCAAACTTTTGTGGGTTAGTGTATCGTCCTCAAAAACTAAAGATGCAATGGAAGAGAGCTAGCGTGTTGTGAATGTGGCGAGCTGTACAGCGTCTGTCAATGATTGTGTGTTTCTCTGGGTTGTAAACAGATCCAAACTAGAGATTCTACTGGGTGTGTTCAGGTAAACCTGCTCTAGCGAATGTACACGTCTCTGCTCCACTCCTCCTGGTTGTGGTTGCGGCCTGTCGTAGCTCCTCCGGCTTCTGCGTCCTGACAGTAGCGCTCCCTCAGCTTGCCTCGCCCACGCTGATGCTGATTGGCTGGAGGTGGGACCATGTTGAGGTTCTCCTGGTCAGGCTCCGCCCCTTCGTCCTCCCAGGAGGCCTGGCGCGGAGCGTGGTGGGCTGGGTTCAGCCGGTATGAGCGGCATGGGTCAGGCTCCTCATATGGATCGGTCTCCATGTCATCGGTGTATGCAGAATCACGGCTGCCCTGGGTCTCAGAGTCAAATGTGTCCTGACGAGAGAGACCCCGGCTGCCTGTTTGCAGCTGGCTGCGTGAGGAGCGCAGTGGCTGCTTTCCGCTCAGGTCACTCTGGTAGTCTTGCAGGCCGCCACGTTCAGGCATTTCCCTCTTCTGCTCTCCATGCACCAGGAACGGCCCCTACGGCGAGCCACATCCCCAAAACACACCAGCACAGGCCAATGCACATGCAGACACACACAAAAAAAGAGCAGGCAGTTAATAGAAAGGTTAGAGGTCAGCTTTTGGTTTTGTTATTTCAACACATTACAAACAACGAGACTGTAGCTTACACACATTACAATTCATTACCTACTCATGCTTTTAGAGGTCTGCCCAACTGTAAAAAGCAATGTTTTTAGATGCAATCTCTATGACATGCTATAGATTATTGCAAAAAATATAATAAAATATATGTATATCTATAGTTGACTTCAGAAATATGCAAAAAATACCTGTAAAAACTTTAAAAATTTAAATGCATCGGACAAGCTACAGACACAAATGCACACCATGCTCATGATGTAAAAAACAACAACTAGTGTTTAGCGCACTCTAGTGGCCGTGTTCAACACATCACACAATAAACTAGGCTACTTCAACATACTTGCTGATGATTTTTTCAAAAATATGTTTTATAATAGTCATCTAATAGTCAAACGCTGTCTTGTATTTTCAACCTCTCTCAAAAAAATCATTACGTATAAAAATATTGAGCAAGATTTGTCATTTTGTAAGTTTATTATATACAGTATTTATCATCTGGGTTTTCTTTCCATTTTCAAAGTATTATATATATATATATATATATATATATATATATATTTATATTGAACAAATTTTTTATATAATATTCAGGTTTTATGAAGTACAAAAATATTGACTAAGATTTATTTTTGTTTTATCATATGGTAGTAGCTGAATTCTTTTAATCTTTACATTCTCAAATCATTTATACAGTTTATAAAACATTGATTAAGATTGTTCTCATCAAGTGAAGCTATTTAAATATCGGAGTATTTGAAGTGCATTGTATGGCAGTAAATCACATTTTATTCTCCATTTAGCTTCTGTTCTCTAAAATATTTAGATACTATAAGAAAATAATATAAGTTATGATATTTCCCCCTAATTCTTTTTAAATAGCTTAAATAAAGCTATTTAAATATCTGACTATATGAAGTGCCCTTGTAAATATAACAGTACAATAATTGTTTATTTTATCATGTTGTAATTTATTATATATATATATATTTTCTCTCTGTTTGTTTTCCATTTTCAGGTCACATGTATAATTTATATCAGTTTTCTTTTATCATATGAAGCTATTTAAATATTCGAGGTGCCCCGTGAATCCAACAGGACACGTTATTTTGTTTAAAGAGCATCTTACAGCTGCGTAACTTTTTTGGTCTCCTTGACAACCATGCACTGGTGCAGACGGAGCAGATGGAGGCTCATTTCTTCCAGTTCAGATTGAGCTGAGATACAGTGCCCTCCACTAATATTTGCATCCTCTGTAAACACTGAGAATTGAAGGCTGGGGAAAAATTTCTCTATTGTTTAACTTTGTGCTCAGAATATTAAACAACAAAACGGACAACACTTTAGTTTAAAATAACTTGTGGCGATGTTGGATTTTAATTTTTGGAGACTTTCTTTCCCCAAGACCTAATAAACTTCTGCAGTTCTCTAGCTGTGGTTCTTGGAAGTTTTTAGCCACTCTAGCCATCATCCTAATAGTGTGATTGGACAAGATAGAGACAAATACTCTTACAGACTGATTTATAACACTATTTCTAGCCCCATCTCATGTGGAAATGTAACTATAACATAACTGTCACAAAAATGTGGGACTTTTAAAAGGAGGTATGTCTTCAAATCCCACCTTTATACTCAACCATCATTGGAGGATGAGCAAATAGTGAAACGCATGAATACGATTGTACAAATTGATATGAATTAGCCACTAAATTAAAACATTATGGATTGCTGTGAGGTAGCGTTGAAGTTTTTTTATTATCCTGATGGTGGAAAAGAGCATTTGCAGCATTTTTACTATTTTCTAGGGATGCTCCGATCAGGATTTTTGCAGCTGATACTGAGTACCGATTCCTTGTCATGGTGATCGACCGATACTGTTTTTATTATTTATTTATTTATATGATTTATACATGATATTAGAATATGTGTTAGCTTTTGTAAGTGATTTTATGTTTTAGAATAGAATATTTAATGTTCTCAATAATATTTGTAAAGGAAACATATTTCAATTAATAAAGAAAGCGAGAGCATGTTTTTAGCAAAACTAATATTGGATTTGTTTTAAATGCGTGTTCGTGTAAAACAATATAATTTGCAAAAGAAGTTATGGGGTTCCTCTCTAAAGAAGTTGTTACCACCTCGTTTAGAGCATCATTACGGGCGTTTTACGTCATAACTAACTTGTTCAAATGATGTATCTGTGACAAAGAAACTACGGATTTTGGGAAACAGTCATCACTACATCGTTCTCTTCCCAAACAATGCATCATACTATGTTAGTTCACCCCCGAGTTACATCGTTGTTTGATAAACGCACCCCAGATCAACGAGTACTGATCGAGTGGTTAAATGTGATTATCTGCTGATTGCAATCCTCCGGCCAATCGATCGGAGCAACTCTACTATTTTCCTTTAGACACTTTAAATCACAACTCTGTTCTTCAGTTTTACCTATTGTGATTAATGAGTCTGGCTTTTGTTTTCTCATATTTACACCTGGGTGAAACAGGAGATCATCTTTGTTCAATTTCCTGTTCCTTGTCACCCAACATGTCGACTAAAAAATGAAAAAAACTATGGAAATATTCTTTAAAAATAGCTCGCTCATATCAATTTATAGGGGAGCCAATAAACACAGCATATTTAACAAAGATTAAATATTTAACAAAGATATTACTTTTTTGAAAGGTCTGAACTGTGCTTTCAATTATATGTCAAATTTCTCAAAGAATTCTTGCTACTATTTTGAGCAAAAGATCAATAAACAATTAAAAAAATGAATTTTCTCCTCCTTGTTTGCTATATAAGGGTGCCAATATTAGTGAATGACTTCAAAGAGCACACTTGGGCTGCGTCCAAAACCGCCTAATACTCAGTAGGTACTGTATTTGAATTTAAACGTAAGAAAATGTACGTACTCGAACGTACTACATCCGTCATTTTGTCATGATCATATGACCTCCCCGCATGAGTTGCATCCCATTCATGAATTCTCTCGAGGGGCATCATGGGATATCGCAGCATGCATGGGATCCACACTTCAGAATCTCACCGGTAGTAGTAAGTCATCCGGCTACTTCTCGCATACTAATTTTCGTATTCTATGAATTTGGACATACTTCTCGGTTCGCATAATGATTTGACCGTACTATATAGTATGGAAGCATGCGATTTCGGATGCAGCTACTGACACACATGTATCTCTCTCACTTCTACACACAGACACACTTCCATTAAACTTGTGTAAACAACGCTGCCATCAATGGTTAGATTTTCAGCTCAGTGTTAACTGCATAATAGGAGTAAGTTTTCATGCCATGGCAACCTGGAAGAGGGCAGCGACCTGAAGTACACTTTCCAGACGACAAGAGGCCCTTGGAAAGTCGGACAGCCGCGAGTGTTTTCGTGTTGATCATGTGTGTACATGTTTGTGTGGCATTATCTATATCACTGAGAGATCAGTCAAAGGAGAGGAGCAGGGACACACAACATAAATACAGTTTCTATCTCTTGAGCAGCCATCGATACAATTCTGTGATTGGGAGACGGGTCTGGGACCCTTTATTATGTGTCTTAGAGGGCATGTTCGTCCTCTTGTTGGCCCTGCATCACAGCGGGGGAGCCGTCGAGGAGCTCCATGTTGCGCCGCAGGGAAGTGAGCACCTGTACCTGCAGGTTGGAGACGGGTTCGGGCGAAGCGGCCAGGGCGGCTGTGGCCATGGTGCGGTTCAGCAGAGGGTTGGGCGGGTTGCTGCTTGGTGGATGTGTGGCCTTCCAGTAAGCTTCCAGGTATTCAGCCAGATGTTCACACGCATCCTCCAGCTGATTCTCATCTAAGATTATGTCAAACAGCTCCTGGAAAAGAAGATATAAAAAAAAAGGGTGAGAAAATGTAGTTTACATCGCCATTTAAAGAGCCTCTATTATGCATTAAAAAGGGTCAAGGGTTTTGGGGGTCTCCAACAACAGGCTGATATGCATGCCAGGTCAAAAAACACTTTCATTGTCTCATAATATGCATTTATTTTAACCTAGTCATTTGTTCCTAAACCCCTCCTTAGTGCGGTGCTAATCTGCGCTGATTGGTCAGATGACCCTGTCTATTGTTCGACTGCATGAACCCCCCTGTCCTCAGCATTTTGGTACAGTCTGTGAAACCCATGGGTCGCCAACTTTGGTATAGGATCCGATCTCAGCATCTACCCGAAACACGCTTCATCGTACAGTTACTAACACCACAGTACACAGTACCCGGTTCTCAACAATGTTATTCAGGCACCTTACCCCTGAACCTAACACCTTCCGCCCTCCCCCCTCCCCAAAACGGCAGTAGATCGCGAGGTCACATTTGCATTTATATCCATAAACAAAGTGCGTTGTGTTTTCAACGTGGCTTGGATGCGATACATCAATATAAAAAGTTAACCAAATACAGTAAAAGTGGTTACAAGTAACAAAACAGGAAGCAACCATTTTAATCGAACTTAATTTACTTGCACTTGTGAAATAGAGGAAGAAACTGATCTATGAACTGTGTACTGTAAAGTTCCTGTTAAGCTCAGAAAAAGTCCCATATAGTCTTTTCTGATCCTTACTTTACCAACAGCTAACCACTATGAGTCGACTTTTTTATAGATGAATCAATAGTTTTAAACACGGTGGGCTTTCAGATTTAAGCCTTAGCTGGATATTTCACTTTTCTTAGAGCTGCGTTACACACTGCATGGAAGGTCATTTTCAAAAATCCATAATAGAGTGGAGGAACTATGACATCACTTTTTAGGCTAATCAGCTGCTAGCATAAAACTGGTTCCCTCGTGAAAATCCCTATGGGCTTTCGAAGATTGCAAATAATAAGCTCTGTGTTCAAACACTGTTCATTACACTTGCACGTTTTGTCCAGTTGGATAATCCTCACACGAAAATACAACTTTGAGCACTTTTGGATCTTAAATACAAACGCAGGAATTGAAAAGCTAACATTAGGCTATAAACAGACTACAGAGCCCTCGGGGCGCCCGCCTGTGAGGTCAGCCCCACCCTGCTACAGACGACTTTTCAAGCTTATTTTTAGAAATAATGTCCATGAAAAAGAGTTAATTTCTCTGTTTACTATATTATAATCCACGCTCTATATTATAAACAAATAAATACGCAAAAACACATAGACATATGTGCCTTTCGGATCGTTTTTATGTGGGAAATACATCTGTTTTGCTTTATGGTTGTTCTAAAAGTTTTGCCTAACGTTACATAGTATTATCATAAGACATATTTAAATAAGTGTACCGCTCGCGTGCACACAGTCTGCTTACCTTAACAGATGACAGAAATTAGGCGGAACAAGTCTATCAAATGCCTGCAAGTTCCATCATTACGGACACAGAGCAACATTCAATATTCCTTTTGTGTCACTAAGTACAGCTAAAAGCAGCCCATACAGTCACATCTGCTGTACATTTTATGGAGGAGTGCAAATATTGCAGTTATGAGAGTTAAATGTGTTCAGATGAAGAACGAAAAATCACGTTAAACTGTCAGTTTACATGCATGTATTTGACACATTTATTCCTACGTTTGCATTACTGAGAGCAGGAGAGAGACAGGCTGCACTGGTAAGCAGTGTCTTCATAATATAGTTTATTAAAATAAATGATCAACAAATGAATCTTTCTCGACAGACTTTACAAGTAAAGGAATTATCTACACACAATCTGAATTCTCAATTAGAATAATACAACAAACTATAAAATAATGTTCATGAAAATACCTAAATAGCATTTAGCAACTTGATAGCAATCGTCTTTTTAAAGAAGCATAACCGATTTAAAAACTCAAGAGTGTGATGTAACTGATGCGTTTTATGTCGTAGAACAAAACGAGAAAGTATCTTGAGTTTGTGTTTGCCACAAACCTTATTTAAGCGATTTTACTAAAACCCCATTGAAAAAACCCATTGACTTTGGGACGAGGGAACCGGAACTGCTAAAATGCTAACTTGCTTCCGGGTTTTTGCATACAAATTGACGTCATAGTTCCTCCACTCTAAGTCTAACCGGAAGTCAATGAGACTTTTATTTCAGTTTGTTGATGTACTTCCAACTGAGACGTAACATTGACTAGGGGCAGGGCTTTCCTATGATGCAACATTCACTCATAGCAAACTAACAATAAAAAGGGGCGTGGTTAAGAAATATTGCAGTGGAAGCTGTTATCAGAGAAGAACAGTTACTCTCCAAAGTCACTCCAACAGCCACTCCACTTCTTTTTTTCCCAGTAGATTAACTTGCAAGAATGAATAACTCATCCTAAGAATATGTGAGCTAGCAAAATAAACATTGTATATATTGATTTCATATGAATTTGAAAGAACGTCTTGTATGATGATTAAAAAAAAGTGCTGCATTCATAATAGATACTGTAAAAAAAGTGAACATATAAATGAACAGCTTCTGAAAGACTTCACACCGACAAGTTTGAGCTGATGTTTGGGCAGTGATGTCAGCTGCTGGTGAGAAATCTGGCAAACCTTAATATCTCTTGTAAGCGTTGCTTTCTGTGTAGCCAGTTGAAAAAGGTTCTGTGTCAGCTGACATATGCCACTTTAATATTGCTACTGGAATGACCTTTATGCTAAGGTTAGCTGGTAATCTGATATGATAACGTAGTAATTAAGCAGCGCTGCTAACCCTCTCCTAACCAGATTTACCATTGTCTTTATTCATGAGCACTCCTCTGGTCCCAGCTGGCCAGCTATGAGCCAAGGCATTCGGTGAGTCCAAAACCTGTGGCCATTAGCCCTGAGGTATTCCAGATGAGGCCCCATTAAGAAGTGACAGCGGAAATGTGCTGTGGCTTGGCACACACTAACATACTCGATTTTTGACCATGGAAATGTAGCGAATGCAAATGACGAGCCAGTCATATACTCACAGGAGGACATTGTGCCAGTTTATCAGCTGCCACCATTTGGACATTGAGATGTTTGGCCTGAGATTTTCCCCTGGACTTTATCAGCCTCTGCAACACCTGATAGAGAGAGAGAGAGAGAGCAGATATACATCCATTAGCACAATCAGATACATTATAATCATTCATCTTTTTAATGTAGTTGTATTAGGTTAGTTATGTACCTTTGGAGAGGCGATCTTGATATAGACTATGATTGGTGCCAGTGAGGTCTTGGCCAGTTGAGATGGATGGTTAATTGTGTCTGCATCCAGAGCCACTAACTGAAGCGTCCGAGCCAGCTCAAAGATTCTCTCGATTTCACTCTGTACCTCAGCTGTCAAATAAAAAAAACTATATTCAAAAAGCATATTCAATATACAGTTTATACACTCATAACAAGATTAAAAACAGGTGTTCTCAGTGGGTTTTTGTCCATAACTGTTAATAAAAGTAATCTCTACACTGCAGCATTTGTAACCTGACTTGCTTTCTATATAATCTTATATTAAATTAATATAAAAAGGTTGAGAAATAGCATCATTTTGTCTATTTAAAGCATACATTAGTTTGTCTAATTTAAGCATAGATGTCACCAAAATCTATTTATTTATTTGCAGTGTTTATAAACTTTTGGCCCACAAGTCTTTTACCCATTCGTTTTTTCCCATAGGGATTTTAAAGACTTTGATTTAAAGCAAATACATACACTCTATTAGGTACACCTTACTAGTACAGAGTTGGACCCTCTTTTGCCTTCAGAACTGCCTTAATAATTTGCGACATAGATTCTACAAAGTACTGGAAGTATTCCTCAGAGATTTTGGTCTATATTGACATGATAGCATCTCCCGTTCCATCACATCCCAAAGGTGCTCTATTATATTGAGATCTGGTAAGTGTGGAGGCCATTGGATACAGTGATCTCAATATTAAAGAAACCAGTCTGAGATGATTCACGCTTTGTAACATGGCGCATTATCCTGCTGGAAGTAGCCATCAGAAGATGGGTACATTGGTCAGAAAGGGATGGACATGGTCAGCAACAATACTCAGGTAGGCTGTGGCTTTGACTTGATGCTCAATTAGTACTAATGAACCCGAAGTGTGCCAAGTAAATATCCCCCACACAATTACAACACCACCACCCGCCTGAACCATTGATACTAGGCAGCATGGATCCAGGATTTCAAGTTGTTGATGCAAAATTCTGACCCTACCATTAGAATGTCGCAGCAGAAATTGAGACTCATCAGACCAGGCAACCTTTTTCCAATCCTCTAATGTCCAATTTTGGTGAGCCTGTGCGAATTGTAGCCTTAGTTTCCTGTTCTTAGTTGACAGGAGTGGCACCCGGTGTGGTCTTCTGCTAACGGTTCCGCTTTAAGGTTGATCGTGTTGTGCATTCAGAGATGCTCTTCTGCATACCTCGGTTGTAACGAGTGGTTATTTCAGTTACTGTCACACCTGGGACCAGTCTGGCCATTCTCCTCTGAGCTCTGGCATCAACAAGGTATTTCAGCCCATAGAACTGCCACTCACTGGATATTTTCTCTTTTTCGGACCATTCTCTGTAAACCCTAAAGATGGTTGTGAGTGAAAATCCCAGTAGATCAGCAGTTTCTGAAATACTCATACCATGTCACGTTCAAAGTCACTTTTAAATCTTTCTTCCCCATTCTGATACTTGGTTTAAACTGTAGCAGATTGTCTTGACCTTGTCTACATGCGTTGAGTTGCTGCCATGTGAAAAGCTGATTAAAAATTTGCACTAACGAGCAGTTAGACAGGTGTACCTAATAAAGCGGTGAGTGTATGAAAATCCGACAAATAGAAGACACAATCAGAGATTTTTAAATCTAATCACTTAAACTTGTATCTAGAGAAACCAAAACATTTATTTTGAGACTGATCAGACAGACTTATGCAAGATTATGAATATAGGTATAGATCTCCTTTGGCTTGCTTTGCTCTGATTGGTGGAATTGTCTGTACATGATCATGGGTAATGCAGTTATTTTTTAAATATTTCACTATTAACACAAATTTTTAAAATAAGCTGAATAAATGTGAGAAGACGGGTTTCTCAGATGCACATTGAGTTGATTAACAACCTCAAAGCACACAAAAGGTCTGCCTGTAAAAGTTTATGTGTTGCTGTTAAAAATCAATGTCCCATTAGAAACGATGAATGGTCTTCTGGAACCCGACTGCTCTGCTCTATATCAAGAGAATCTCAAAAGCACACACAAACACAGCTCAAATTTAATAAACAAAAGACCCATAAACTTACCTCACAATTTTATGTCACTCAACCCTATGTTAGTACACATCATGCATGTGGTGGTTATTATGGTCTGCTCGAATATATGCATGTGCAAGTTTATTTCCATTTGCGTTTAAACAAATGGATGGCTGAGCAGTATGAGTTTTCCACATTGATCCATGAAAGTGTGTTTAAAGCTGCAGTTATGCAGATCAGCCTGCGTGTTTGTGTATGGGCTGGTGTGGGTGTGAAGTGCTAAATATGAAAGTGGGATCACACTTTTTTACAGTGAGTCAGGATCAATGCGTTCAGTGAAATTTTAAGAGGATAAAAACCAGCAAGCCATACTACTTGGCAAGTTACCATTAGGTCAAGATACTATATAAAAAAAACATAATTAAATATACTTGATGTTATGTAAAGGGGCAACATAAATAGTGTTTGTATCTTTTAAATTAACATATTGTACGCATTACATAATATTATCATCAGAATTCAATTGGGGTGACACCCTTTTTAAAACTTCAAAAAAGTCTTTACAATTCTGATATATAATATACACTAGCTGACAAAAGTCTTGTCGCAAATAATAATAAATAAATAATAATAAATAAATAATAATAATAATAAAAAATAATAATAAATAATAATTGCAAATAATAATCCTTCTGTATCAGAAGTGACTTATATGAAAGGCAAGGGCCTCTGAATTTCGGTCATATAAGCAAAATAAACTATGATCATGCCTTAATTTTTAATTATTTCACTAGGACAGTAAGATCTAACTTTGCTTAGACAAAAGTCTTGTCATTTCACATAAATAATATACAGTACAGAATATAAAGTCATGCTGCAATGGAAAAATAATGAATATTGTGTCTGACTCCGATGAGCTTGGAGGACTGCATTCATACATCTCTGCAATGACTCAAATAATTTATTATTAACGTCATCTGGAATGGCAAAGAAAGCGTTCTTGCAGGACTCCCAGAGTTCATCAAGATTCTTTGGATTCATCTTCAATGCCTCCCCCTCCATCTTACCCCGGACATGCTCAATAATGTTCATATCTGGCGACTGAGCTGGCCAATCCTGGAGCACCTAGACCATCTTTGCTTTCGGGATCTTTGATGTGGAGGCTGAAGGATGAGAAGGAGCCCTATCTTGCTGAAGAATTTGCTCTCTGCTGTGGTTTGTAATGTAATGGGGTGCACAAATGTCTTGATACCTCAGGCTGTTGATATTGCCATTCACTCTGCAGATCTCTCGCACGCCCCTATACTAAAAAGTAACCCCAAACCATGATTTTTCCTTCATTTAACTTGACTGATTTTTGTGGGAATCTTGGGTCTATGTGGGTTCCAATAGGTCTTCTGCAGTATGTGTGATGATTGGGATGCAGCTCAACAGACGATTCATCAGAAAAATCTACCTTCTGCCACTTTTCAAAATGATCAACAAGAAGTCAAGTTATTATTTGTTGCTCTTAAAACTGGGCTCGAAGACAAGACTTTTGTCAGGTAGTGTGCATTATACATATACAATAGAGTGTGTATTTTAGAAAGTTATAGAAAAATGTAGTTATTTTAGTAGTGTTGTAAAGGACACCACAACTGTGCTGACAAGTTAAGAGGATTCACTCCAAACTCAAGAAAGAGAGTTAAGTGAAAGGACAGATGGATGAAGAGTTAGATGAATGAATCGACAGATGAATGAATCAACAGTTATAAGGTAAAGGATGGGAGGATAGGATACGTACCCAGTAAGTCTGAGGTGAAGAGAAAAAGAGAAGGTGGAAATGAATGGTGGGAAGGTGTGTCAGGAAAGAGCGAGATGAAAAAGAGAAAAAAAGACAGATCAGACATGACGGAACAGAGCAACAGGAGGAAACAGTACGAATAAGAAAAATGTTCAGGAAACAGAGAGAATATGCCCTGGTGTACACAAGAGAAAACTGACAGCGCTTGACTAATGCATGTATACCCCGCCAAACGTCTGAAGTCTAAAAACCTATTCACACAAAGAGACACAAAGACAAAAAGAAAAATGTATCTGATGTTTTCTATGATTTAAAGCACAGCTGTCAAACTGAAAACGTTTAGTTCCAACTCTAATTAAACACACCTGATCAAACTAATTGAGTCCTTCAGGCTTGTTTGAAACCTATAGGGAAGTGTGTTGAAGTAGGGTTGGAACTAAACTGCAGAGCTGCGGCCCTCCAGGAATTGAGTTTGACACTTGTGACTTATAGTAAACACCTGTCACCAGGCCCAAAAACTGATCAGCAACTTTTACCAACTATTAATTTATTTACTACATAAATACTTTTTTAAATGATCATTTTTACATAAATCTTAATTGCTAACATAAATTATGGTGGCTTGAGAAAGCCAACATACTGTTATACTACATAAACTTCTTCTTCTTAGACTATTTTAGGAACTCCTCTCCTCCTAGACCAATCATACTGCAACCACCAAACTAACTCCAAACTACACTGAATTAAGTTGCTATATCTTTTCCAACTGAACCGACTTTTATCCGGAAAGTATTCATAGCTCTTCCCTTATTATACATTTCTTTGTTACAGCCTTATGCCAAAATGGATTAAATTCCTAATATTCTTCAAACTTCTACACACAATACCCCATAATGACAATGAGAATAAAGAGTTTTTGAAATTGTTGCGAATTTATTAAAAATAAAAACCTGGAAAATCACATGTACAGAAGTATTCACAGCCTTTGCTTAATACTTTGTTGATGCACCTTTGGCAGCAATTACAGCCTGAAGTCTTTTTGAATATGATGCCACAAGCTTGGCACATGGGAATTTTTGACCGTTTCTCTTTGCTATACCTCTCAAGCTCTATCAGGTTGGATGGGAAGCAACGGTGTGAAGCCATTTTCAGATCTCTCCAGAGCTGTTCAATTGGATTAAGGTCTGGGTGCTGGCTGGGCCACTCAAGAACATTCACTGAGTTGTTGTGAAGCCACTCTATTGATCGGTGTGCTTTGGGTCGTTATCCTGTTGGAAGCCCCAGTCTGAGGTCAAGAGCACTCTGAAGCAGGTTTTCATTCAGGATTTCTCTGTGCATTGCTGAATTCATCTTTCCCTCTATCCTGACTAGTCTTTCAGTTTCTGTTGTTGAAAAACATCCGCAGAGCATGGTGCTGCCACCACTATGCTTCACTGTAGGGATGGTATTAGCCTGGTGATGAGCGCTGCCTGGTTTTCTCCAAACGTAACGACTGACATTCACTCAAAAGAGTTCAATTTCAGTTTCATCAGACCAGAGAATTTTGTTTATTATTGTCTTAGAGTCCTTCACTTGCCTTTTGGCAAAGTCCATGTGGGAGGTTCCTCTCTCCACAGAAGAACGCTGGAGCTCAGACAGAATGTCAATCAGGATATTTATCACCTCTCTGATTAAGGCCCTTCTCCCCGATCACTCAGCTTAGATGGCCGGTCAGCTCTAGGAAGAGTCCTGGTGGTTCCCAACATCTTCCACTTATAGATGATGGAGGCCACTGTGCTCATTGGAACTTTCAGAGCAGCAGAAAATTTTCTGTAACCTTCCCCGGCCTTGTGCCTCAAGACAATCCTGTTTCAGATGTCTACAGACAATTCCTTTGTCTTCATGCTTGGTTTGTGCTTTGACATGCACTGTCAACCCTGAGACCTTATATAGACAGGTGTATGCCTTTTCAAATCATGTCCAATTAACTGAATTTACCACAGGTGAACTCCAATTGAGCTGCTGAAACATCTCAAGAATGATCAGTGGAAACAGAATGTACCTGAGCTCAATCTAGAGCTTCACGGCAAAGGCTGTGAATACTTCTGTACATGTGATTATTCAGCTTTTTTATTTTTAATAAATTTGCAACAATTTCAAAAACTCTTTTTTCACATTTTTAGGCCATTATGGGGTATTGTGTGTAGAATTTTGAGGAAATACATACATTTAATTTATTCTGGAATTAGGCTGTAACATAACAAAATGTGTAAAAATTTAAGCGCTGTGAATACTTTCTAGATGCACTGTAAATATTGCTTATTATTTTCTGTTCAGTTGCTTTTCATATTCATAATTAAATTTAATTACAAACATATAAGATTTTTAATGTTTTATAAATATACATTATGCTTCTGACTTAAACATATTCGGTATACCAGTTTTATGATCAGTAAGCCTTTTTATTCTATTACTTTTTGTGTGTGTTTTGCTCTCAATGTAAACAGGTCACATTTTGTGTGCTCTTTTATCCAGAATATGTTGTCATATCTTGTCATTCATTTTCTGCCACACGAGGGCGCTCTTCAGAAGCAGTTATTCATTTCTCATTTTATGTGCAGGTGTGTTTCGTACCCAGGCTGGATCTGGTGCTGGAGCGCTCGATGATGGTGTGTTTGCTGGGGTTGTTAAGGACGGAGCGTTTGGCAAGTGAGATGTCGGCTGTCACCCGGGTGATGGATATTCTGGAACAAACAATAATTCATAACCACGCTATTCCAATTATAGCATGAGTGCGCTGTGATATTTCCATCATGAATGATCTGCACAGAGCTGTAATGTTACCTAAATGTTTATCAATGCCATAGTGATGAGAAGAAGTCTATTATTCATTATAATCATGGCATGCACATTATGGTACCCACCTGCCCTCAAATTTGTGTTTTAGAAAGTCGAAGAGAGCTTTCTGCATCATATCTGTGACCTGCAACACACACACACACACACACACACACACACACACACACACACACGCACGCACGCACGCACGCACGCACGCACGCACACACACAATATGAGCATAAACAACATGACTACAATAATAAATTGCCAATTTCTGAGAGAAGTGCAGTCTTGCCTCATAGCCTTTAAGGGACGGCCCCACTAAAATAATGGGTCTCATGGAAGGCACCACATCGTAAGGAGGAACATGTTCCATCTGAAAATTAACACACACAAAATAAAACCTCTTTAGAGAAATCATAACCTAAAGTAAACATTTGCCAGTACTGACCTAAATACCTGTTTTTTTTAAATAGGCAAGGTGTCTTTTTACTGCTCCAACAATTGAGGTTTTCTTTTTTCTTTCTCAGTTTTTCCACTAATTTCTTTGTTTTCATGCCGATTCTGAGACAGTTTTAACAGTGCCTGTGCATGAAAGATTTTTCTTGGAAGCTGATCAATTAAATTAACATTTTTAATATATATTAGTAAAGTGATTTAGTGTAAATAATATATATAGAACCTGATTTATTATAATGCTCTAATCCATAGATAATATATTGCCAACATGTTAGTTTAATATAATTAAGTTGCATAAATATATTTTACAATTAATTTAACTGAATGCAATTTTCTACAAATAATAATTAATTAATGTAATTACAGTTATGAGTGTCAATATATATGTTTAATTAAACAGATTAATGCATAATGTTTAATTAGTCAATCATTTAGACATATACTATGATTTAATATTATCATGGCTAGAGAAAATTCCCAGATGAAAAAGAATCCAAAGGCATTATTTAGGTTGATGAATACACTTTAAAACAGACATAACATAATTCATATATTCAAAGTTTACTTGTATATCATGAGTTAACAGCTCTTAATTTCCTTCACTTTGCATATGAAATATACATATCTAATCAAATACATCATGTTATATTATCTGTGCAACGCACCTAAACATATAATAATGCGCCAGAGTGTCCATCTGAGGGATGCTTGGCGCTCTTTTTATTGTCTTTTCTTCTCATCAAAACCTCATATTTTAGTAATCATACTAAATTAGACATCATTTGAAAGCTTTGAACTCATCCTGTGAAAACCATTTTTAAATCAGGACATTGGATTACCATGGAAACAGTGCTTTAAAACCTTTAAACAAGCTCTTTCTTCTCATCGATGGTGTCAGGATTGATATTACAAAATATACTAACTATATTATTTCTACATACTATATGCAATATGTTACGCATGCTGCAAGTCTTTAGTTTCTATATATTCATTCATTTTCTTTTCGGCTTAGTCCCTTTATTAATCTGGGGTCGCCAAAGTGGAATGAACCACCAACTTATCCCGCCCATGTTTCATGCAGCGGATGCCCTTCCAGCTGCAACCCATCTCTGGGAATCATCCATACGCACTCATTCACACTCCTACACTATGGACAATTTAGCCTACCCAATTCACCTGTATCACATGTCTTTGGACTGTGGGGGAAACTTTATTTAAATAAACTTTAAATATACTTTATTTAATTTTTCACAGTTTTATATAGGACAGTAGAAAAGAGACAGGATTACATAGGGAGCTGAGAGAGAGGGGAAGGCTCGGTAAAGGACCTTAAGCCGGGAATCAAACTTGGGTCGCTTTGAGCCCCTCAATGCTATATATCGGCACACTTTACCACTAGGCTATATATTTAATATCTGTTATATATATATATATATATATATATATATATATATATATATATAAAAACACTGATCTTGATTGTCTGATTGATATATTATATAAATGGAGTTTTTGTGCTAGCCTGCTAACCCTGACAGACATGTGCATGTAAACGGCTTTTCATCTCGTTTTACGCTTGAACAAATAAATGAATGCTGAAGTCTATTTATCTGATTATACTTTACTTACGTTACAACATCGATGCAGTAAAAGTAATCGTTTAAAACTGAAAATAGTCACATTAACCGTTCACCAGAAGTTAAGGTTAGGGTATGGGAAGAAACACTATCTAAGTGTATACCCTATTGACAACAACACCTTTAGTTTCTAATGTTGGCCAAACCTATATTTTTGGAAAGGTCTGACGTTCTTAAGGTTATATATTTGGTGATAGAAAGTGAAACTGTCACAGAAATGGGTTGATGTGTGACCGTAGGATGCTATAAAAAAGAAATGTGTTACCCAATGTGAATTTCTGGTATCACACCCAAATCACATTTAAAGAAACTATCATTTTTGTACTTTAAATTTGGCGAATAATTTCAATAGACGCAAGACTTGGATGCAATATGGATTTGGTTGCCACCTAGTGGCTATTATTGGTAAAATACCTCAATAAAATCTCAATTTTTGTAATCTCAATTTCAAAATTAGAAAGTAATGATTAGACACATGGCACATAACGTAGACATAATTGGTTGTTTTCAATCATGTGGTTCTGGTGTCGCACGAAATTCAGATGGAGAAAGGGAAGTAAAAAAAACTGAATGGGAGACACAGAGGAAAGTCCAAATTTGAGTGATTTATATCATATTTCACAGGAGATATAAATAGAAAATAAGCACATATGTTGGGCATGATCCTGATATCATGCCCCTATATATATATATATATATATCATACAGTACTATATAAGCTATTATGCTACATGAAAAATACTATAGTAAATACTATAGTGTTTGGAAGCATACTATAGATAATTACTTGAATTAAACTGTCGTAGTTACAATATTGTTGCTGTGGTACGACACAACTATAGTAATAAACAAATTGTTCAATAGGCTTCAGTTCTCTACGCTATTATTATACACCATCACAATGCACCAATATATTTACACTGACGTCACAGTATTTATTACAGTTTATCAGTTTACTATTAACAAAGAGTTGTACACATTATACACTTTACGATGTGATTCAAAAACATGTTTATTATAAATTACTATAGTTTTCCTCCCATGCGCATATTTTCCAGACATCACAAAATAACAGATGAAAGCAGACAAAAGTGTGGGCGCATAGTCTGCATTATTATTTATTTATTTTTGTAAGGGGGAAAGTGCTCCACAATAATAACCGTCAAGTTTTGTCGCAAGGGTTGCATTTCTTTTTTTGTTCTGTTGATGAACTTACCATCAACAAACATGATGTGCATCTCGATGTTCATGTTATGGTTGTTTATTCCACCAAAACGCCAGTAAAAACTTGGATTATTGCAAAACAAAACAGAGATTTCATTGTAGCGATTACATGGCAGAATACGCTGTTTATATTCTCCTGGATTTTGTGTAAGTGTGTTGGTGTTTGTATCTGATTTTTATAACACATTAACATATTTATACACATATCTAGACCTGTATATCATCTTAATTGGCGCCGTCAAACAAATTATAGCAATCAAAAAAAGTTTGTACACATGGATGTGTTGCAAAGATTTTTATTACATGCCACCTTTTCTTCTGTTTTTCTTTAACTTTCTTCCGTTTATGAGCAAAAACTTTTGGAAGGCTATAAAAGCTGTCTGGCATTTCCTATTTTGGCCAATTAACCAACTTTAAATAGCATAAACAGAAACATTGTGGTGTTCGGATAGCGATTCCTACGTAGAAAAATCACTTCCTGCCTTCCATCTGAGCCTCCTGCATTAATGATGTCATGTGAAAACAACCTATATGGATTTGGTTGCCACCCGGTGGCTATTAATAGTATAATACCTAAATAAAATATCATCAGAACCTCAATTTTTGTAATATCAATTTAAAAATTGCTAAGTAATGATTAAACAAATGGTTAGCACTGTCACTGTCAAGAAGCTCACTGGTTCGAGTCCCAGCTGAGCCAGTTGGCATTTCTGAGTGCACAGGTTTCCCCCACAGTCCAAAGACATGCACTATAGGTGAATTGAATAAATTAAATTGGCCGTAGTGTATGAGAGTGTGTGTGTGTGTGTAGTTTTTTTTTTGCGGCTGTAAAGACATCTGCTGCATAATAACATATGCTAGAATAGTTGGCGGTTCATTCGGCTGTGGCGACCCCTAAAGTTTATGCAATTTTCTGAAATGTTTTAGCAATAATCTGCCAATTGTCTTCTTCTAAGTGTTTAAAAGTACAAATATTAATGTCTAGATACCGCATTTTCACTTAAGGGCTTAATAATAATATTTTAGCTGCTTTATATATTTAAAATATTTTTAGGATGCTTATATTCATATTAATCTTCTGACAGGCCATAACGTGAATCTCAGAGCTCTTTATGTCCTGTTAATGTTCAGAAAGTGTGTATGAGAAAATCCTTCACTCAACTTATCTCCATTCATCCTCTGACCCACTTATATAATACATGCTCAAAAATTTCAGATGGCCAGCTATAGTAAACAACAAGAACATCTAAACATAACTTGAAAATAATGTCATCATTCTGAATGGAGTGATTCCCATCTGTGCGTGTGTGACGGTAGCATTGTGACAGCAGTAACACGCGTGGGCTCCGCTCTGTGTCATGAGCCTGTAATGGAAACGGAAAGCGTGGAAACCTGTCGGGGTGTTTCTGCCTCATGTTGTGTGCGTTTATTTGCAGGAGGACGACAGAATTCTGTGTGTCCACACATGTGGGCGAACACATGGGCCGCATTCATTCATTTGTTAATCCAATCTGAATGAGATGTAGTCCTGTGGAGCTCTGAGACGAACAAATCCTGACAGGTTTTCCTCTGCTTTCAGAACTATTTTGTGGTAAACAATGCAGGTGGTGAAATCCTTGTCTACATGCCACCGGTAATTCACATTCAAGTCTTTAGAGCAGCACTGAAACATTCACAGTATTTGCTCAGCTCATGTAGAAACACAAAGAGAACAGCTTATAAGACAGGGATGCTTTCATAACAAGTACAAAAGACAGATTGCACGAAACAGAAAGTTAGCTTTTGCAATGACTCACCGATTTCTGTTTCTGTTTGGCAGGCCCACCTATCATTACGCACACAGCAAGAGAGAGAGAGAGAGAGAGAGAGAGAGAGAAAAGCAAAGCAGGCAAACAAACAGAAGCTTGTTAGTGACAAATTGTTAATACATTTAGGATGCTGGAAGAGAATGAATCAAATGTCGGCGTTAATAAAGTGCTTCACTGAGTGCTCAGTTATCCGTATGGAGAATGAATCAAAGCATCAGATGTGGCCAGATGAAGAAAAGATGGAATTTCCAAAGGGGATTAGATCAACTGCGGCTTGGCTGTTCGTTTAGTTTTAGTAAAACTCTCCCTGTATAAATATAGCATTCATTTAAATGACTTGATTACTTTGAGTCTTCTAGATTGACCCAAACCTGAACATTCTGTCATTATTTACTCATCCTAATGCCGTTGGAGACTTTTAAAACTTGCTTTTAATCTGAACAACACAAAAGTCGAAATATCAAAAATAATAAACAGTTCCACCTGAGGAATATGGGTTGATGCAGAACAATATGGTACACGTTTATTTCCATTTCCACTATCAGACGTATCAAAATACTGTATCGTACCACTTTTTTGGGACCATTTGGTAAGGGTACCTGGCATGACAAGCACGGTATTAAAAAGGTGGAGCTTGACTTGAAAGCTGATTGGTCTACAAAGAATTGGAGATTACAATTCGGCCAAAGTCACATTATAATTGCATTATGAGGGTGTATGTTAATGTTGTCATTGTTATTCACTGATAAATGTCTTCTCTGGTGCAGTTCGCAGATCTTATTCATGTTCACACATATTTAGATTTGGCAGATCAGGATGTGTCATGCATTGTTTTATACCGATGACGCCACCGAATTGTGTATTTTATTACAAATCACAACAAAACTGATTTAAACATGCACATAACTAGATTTGAGAGTTTTTCATTGACTATACACCTTTTATAGTAATTTAAAGCACTTTTTATAGTTTTAATAGTAATTCCCTATTATGTAATATAATTAACAATATAATAATAATATAATAATATAAAAGGTCATATTTTGGTTTTGAGGGTCTCCAACAACAGGCTGATAGGCATGCAAGGTCAAAAAACACTTTTGTCTTATAGCATGCGTTATTTTTACCTAATTATCTCAACAACTCCCACATGATTTGTTCAGCGATTTATTTGTTCCTAAACTCCTCCCTTGCATGATGCTAATCTGCTGTGATTGGTCCGATAACCAAGTCTGCTGTGATTGGTCAACTGGATTCAGCGTTCAGGGCAAAAGCTGAGTTATTTTGAAAATTGACCATGCCAGGCAGGCAGAAAATCCGAGCAAGAGACAAATCATTCATTTGACTCTAAATCGACTCAATAGAATTGATAGTTTTAAACACCATGCCCTTTTAGATTTAAACCTCAGCTGAATGTTTTCATTCACTTAGAGCTGTTACACACTGCATGTATGGTAACTTAAAAAAAAACTCATAATAGGGGCTCTTTAAATTTTGGACAATTCTTTACACAAAACTGTAATTCTTGCATTCTCAGACGTAAATCAATTATCAAAAATGTAAAACCAATTTTCATTTAAATTATTATGATTGGTGTTGCTAAAAACTGTTGATCTGCTTCATATTTTTGTGGAGACCATAACACTTAATACATTTAATGGTTTTTGATTAATCTGATATATTTTAAACCAAGTATTTTTAAAATCAATTAGAATTGAACATTTTAATGTTGATATAGGAACAGTACAACTGTGTTCAGCATTTATAATAATCAGAAACATCAAATAAAAACGTTAGAATTTCTGATAGATTGCGTGACACTGAAAAAATCAGCATTGACTAAGAAATAAATGTTAAAATATAGATTCAAATTGTACACTAATTTTTTTCTCACAAAAAAACTGTTTTTAATGTATTTTTGAATTACAGTGAAGAAATTTTTTCTGAGAAAACATATTTTGAAAGTTCTGTTGACTTGAAATTTACACCTGATGTTGCTAAAAACCAAAGAGATCCATATAATAAAAGAAAACAAATCTATTTAGCTTACAAATTAAGTTATGTGTAACAACATGAAATGACACAGGAAAGTGTAGAAAGGTGTAGAAAGGCAGTGAAAACCCAGACAGCAGCTGAAATCTCTCAGTAGTTCTTCAGCAATCCTCTGCCTTTCCTCAGTGTAAATGAATATAAGCTGCCGCAGTCCAACATCTACATTATCAGGATGATAAAGATGAAACCAAAGTGGACCTTACAGTAAGACAATTATCCAAAACACAGCTAAGGATACTCTTAAAAATGGTTTCAAAAAAAGAAAAATAAGCTGTAGAGTGACCCAGCCAATCACCTGACTTGAATCCAATAAGAAATACAAGATAAAGCTCAGATTTGATAGCCGAGACCACAGAACCATCAAGATTTTTACACTGTTGATATCTGAAAAAAAAACACACCTGAGCAATTCATGTGACTTCATTTTCCACATGAGAGCCGTCTTTAAGCTGTCGTCACCAAAAAAGCCTTTTATATACAAGTATTAAATACATTTTAGTAGTTCAGCACTTTCTCTTTGTATCATTCCACTGTTAATAAATATATCAATAAAAAAAAAATTTCGTATTGTTTGGCTTTTTTACCGAAATTTGGTTCAATTGCACATCAACAGCTCCTTTGGATATACTCAGGTTTCTTACACCTTTTTCAACTTCAAATTCCAGCACTTTTCAAGCACTTTCAAGGTGCAATTTATGCTTTTCCAGCACCTAACAACCACGGAAAATTACGTTTATATATGCTGTATGTACGTTTTCACATTTAAACTGATTGTGCTATTTAAAAAAACATATATGACATTTCAATTAAAATCGTTAAATACTTTGGAACATAGATTTATTGAAAAAAAAAAAAAAAGTTATTGGATGAAAAATCTTAAGTTTAGTCTCTTTCTACCTAAAGTTGATATCTCAAAAATGAGCTTACAGTCAGATTTTGTTTGGGTGTGGTAGCAAGTTGACTTGTCTGTTTTAAACTATTCCTGAGCACTTTGTTTGCTGTTTTAGGTGCAAATATGCATTCTGTGTGAATATCTGCTACATATGCGCATGCTGTGAACATTTAGCAGTGAAAACTGGTAACAATTTTATGCACTTGCACAAATGCTCCTAAATACATTATGAGCTCGCATAGATAAAATTTCAGGTGCATATATGCAACCAAAACAGTCGGAATTTCGAGCCTCTATGATTTCAAATTCAAGCAGGTTTAAGCACTTTGTCCAAAAGCCAAGCACTTTCCTAACCTTGAAAACACTCTATTAAAAATCAAGCATATTCCAGGATTTCCAGCACCTGTATGAACCCTGTATATTATTCTCAGAAAAAAACACATCACGTGTTGAATACTTCTTTCTCCCACTGTACATCTGAGAATGCATATATTAAATATATCATAAACCACTGCATATATCACTTAGAAACTCTCAAATCTAATTATATGCATGTTTAAATCAGTTTTGTTCAAATTATTATTTTTAATGTATTTTTGAATAAGTAAACAAAAATAAACTGTTCACTCAGTCTCCTATATTAGGAAAAAACTGAAAATTGATTGAAAAATTATAACTTTTTCTTAAACACAGGGTGAGTAAATGATGAGTTTCTTTTTACCTATTGAACTAATATTTCTAAGATGCGAATTTAAGCACAAACAAATGTCCACAAACAGCAAAGACCACCCACATTGAGACACAGAAAGTGCTGGGTTAGGAAGGGTCTGATTATTAGTCACTCGTGAAGGAGGCTGGCGTCTAATGATGCATTCATCTCCAGGTTACCTTCTTAAAGAAAGGGAGGCGGGGCAGGTTGCCTTGAGGGGAGGTGACACTTCCGCCCACACCCTTATGGTCGCGGGTGTCGGCAGTCTCCGCCTCCTCAACATCCGAATCCAAAGCATCGTCATAAAGCCCCGAGGACAAGTCAGCTACGGGACCCATGGGGAGGTAGACGGGGTTTAATGGGAGGATACAACAGGAGAGAGAGATAGAGAAGGAGCGATAGAACAGGGACACAGGGGTAATGGACAGAAAACGAGAGAAGAGGAAGAGAGGAGAAACAGCAGCATGATGTATAGACTTGGCAGAGTCAGAAAGGTGATGAAGAGAACACAGAACGTGCTATAAAAATGAAGGACAAGCAAAACTGAAAAGAAATGACCTTTTTCATGGACTACTAATGGCCCTTTTCCACTGAGTGGTACAGTATGACATTGTACGAGTTGGTATGGGTCACCTTTATCAGGCTTGCGTTTCCACTGCCAAAAGGGTACCAATGGTGTACGACCAAGTTTTAGCCGACATCATTCTCGCTTGAGGAAATGGGTCTCTCATTTATCATATGAGAAGCACTTCTCACAACACAGATGCTTTATATACACATAAATACTTGCGTATAAATGTTCGTCACTAACCTTTCTATAAACATGATTATAACTGCAGATCAATGATAGGCGAATAACCTACTGTAACGTCTGCAATTATGTAAAATAAATAAATAAATGCACTGTATATGAACACATACAGACCCTTACAGTCTCAGATGTTACCAATTACAGCAAAACTACATACAGCATACTTTTAGTCCTTATTTGGGTTCAAAAACAACACGAAATATAGCCGACAGTCTCTGAAAACCTCTCATCTGAATCTTTAATCTTTACCAGCACATGTAACCTCTTGTGAGCAAGTAATTCCATCATTCCGAGTTCATAATAGTCCGAAAGGTGATGATAATGGTTAAACATGGCAGTTTGTTCATCTTTTAGGTTGCTGAAAGAATCATTCGCTCCTTTGTTTTTTCCGGCTTCTCCTTTGTTTTTTTGTGCTTAACTTTCGAGTTTGTCCGCTTCTGAAAGGATTGGACGTCAGAAGCACTTCAAAAATCGCACGCACGTTATTATCATCAGCTCAAGAAATGTTATCTAAAATATAGACATGTACGAGAGTGATTGTAAGCTCCCTGGAGAAAGTGAAACTGCTCACCCTTTTAGACGGCCTCGTAAAACAAAAACAGAACACGGCAGATTTTGTTCTTCTTGGCTTTGTGGCTGTTCATTAAGACGACAACGGGGTTTGTTTGAGCTCAGCCAGGAGGACCATGGCTCTTTATTATATGTATATAATATTACGATATAATGTCTCAGCTGTGTTTTTAAAAATGGCGGTTCCTTTGTTTTTATTCTCCGGGCTTGTATACGTGCTAGTGACGTTTCTCTGTAAACCAATGGCGTTCAGCAGCGCGTCTAGCTCTGCCTTTTGGTACACTTGTGTTGTGCTAGTGATATGGTACGGTTCGCTTTTTGGTACCTTTTGACAGTGGAAACGGGCCATAATAGGTGTGATGAAAAGATCTAATGAATTAAGGTTTTCAAATTATTTTTAAATTCATATTCTAGTATTATTTGATATTTATAGGTTAAAGGAATAGAGGATATTATTGAACCAGAATAACAAGCAAGTAATATTATGAACTTTTGTGTTTAAACACAGAAATAATTCAAGTGAGTCATGTGATTGTCATGCTTTACATCAAAGTCAATAACTACAATAATACACACACAAAAAAGATTCATATATGTTTTTTTTTTTTTACCAATGTCCAGTACAAATCTGTTACTTAGTAATATGCAAGTCACCATACCATATACAGTGAGAAACTGCATTATATATAAGGACTTTTCAGAGAGAAATTACGAATTACTGTAAAATTTACAGTGAAAAACATTAAAAAGACCTTCTTAACAAAGAACTTGCATGACATTATTTTATACAAACTATTTTCTTATTAATTTAAATAAAGTTTAATAGCATTATATGCATTTTTCAAATTCTTTTTTAACATTTTGATTTTGAACAAAGCCTGAGATCCACCCAACAAAAAGTGTAAAATAAAATAAAAACAATAATATTGTAATAATACAAAATGAAAAATTAGTAAGTACAAAATTAAGATTGAAATATAAATGATACAGTCTGTCTCGTATTTAACCAAAATAACAATATATGCACTTTAATATTTAAAAAAATTATAATTTTAAATAAAACATTTTCAAATAAATAAAAAATAAATAAAATTATATAATAAAATAAAATTGAACCAATAAAACTATATTGATATATTGTTTTAAAAACTAAACAAATAATAAATGACGACATAAACAACATTCATACTTAAAACTTTAAAATTAAAACAAGCACAGAAAGAATAAAAAAACTATTTATAATATAAAACAAAAACAATAGTTGATGAACTATACTAAAATAACACAACCCTATGTAGAACTCATGTATGAGTTCTGATTATTATTTAATGATTTTCTTTACATTTTAAAGTACAGTGAAGTAGTTCTAAAAGATCAGCATGATGAAATCTTTTTAATTATCCTTTATTTTATGTTATATTTTCTAATCATATTTTTTTGTGGATGCATTGCTTGACTGGGCTCCTCTGAGAAAACAAAAAATAACCTCCATAACAGATCTCATAAACCAAACAAAACTATGAGTAAGATTTCAAACTACAGATGATGATGATGATGCCCATCAAGAGAAATGAGAGAGATAAAAACAAGATAAAAGCTGGAAGACTAGAAGAATGAATGATAAGAGAGAAGAGAAGAGGGCAGAGGGGATCCTAAGAGGACGCTCTAACTATCTAACCATCGCGTTTAATGATTAAGCCAGTATAAACTCATGGCTTTACCTTCTGTGTCTGTATGTGTTTATATAATGACAGGGATGTTATATCTTTATCACAACACAACGTGAAAACTCACAGCGTTATGGTGTGATCATACCTGTTCCAGGAGGAGTGGGCCTGCGGGCACCTGTGGCGACGTCCAGGCTAGAGCTTCCACCAGACTTACTGATAAACAGATAGAAAGAACAACAGAAAATTAATTCAAATGTTCTCCAATTGCTGCTGTTTACGGGGCTGTTTATATATCGCGTCTTTTGCACACGCATATTGGGGTGATGTGCTAAGGTATTCCAGACACACACTGCGAGTCACCTGACAAGTGTTGGCATGGAATATACACATTTCAGTACACTCTTTACTTTCGACAAGCACAGAGAACCCTAAAGCCTGTTTCACACCGCAAGCGTCAGCAGAGCGTGAGCAGAGCGTGTTTTTTCGGCGTCCATGTGAACAGATTAGAGCTTTCATACCGCACGCAGCACCAGCGCGAGGTGCGAGCGTCGCTGAAGCAGCAGTGCAGCGATAGTTTCGGCGTTGGGCCTATTTTTTCCACGCTGCTCACGCTCAATTAAAGTGACAGTGCATTGATAATGACCAAAACACAGTGAATGACAGTAAAAAGTAGCAATTTTACCCAATAAATGCGTTAATAATGTCAACTAATTTATATATAGTAAATCAAATGAACTTAAATGATTAAGAACGGCAACAAACATTTATTTAGGCCCGAACTACAAAACCATATGTAAAACAATTTTAGTATCAGTTTTGCTTAAGTTGCACAGTAGTGTTTCAGGAGAGGGGAAATAATAGGGGTGTTGTAGTCCATAGCGAAGTGTATTGTGGGTAGTGTAGTTCGACACGCATGTTGGAGGAATGATGTGAGCTCGCTGTGTGCTGTGCAGCTGATGCAGAGGAAAAAAGTTGTATTCGGCTCTGTTTTATGTACACTGAAGTTATTCCTACCAAGAGCTGTTTGCACTGTGAACCTGACAACACGAAAATAAGTAAAAGAGGGGCAGGCATTAATTACTTTAGTCCGTTTCATCCTTTGCACGAGCATGAATTAACGAGCTGTTATTCTGCCGCTGGACATCACTGAAGCGGATAGAGCTTGAGAAGCATACAGTACTATTTGATCTATAACAGGGTTTTTCAAAGTCTAAGACAGTGGGCCTCCCTTTTGACACAACTTATCCATTGGCGCGCCCCCCTCCTCCCAAACACACACGCACACACGCGCGCCGAACACACACACACACAAAAAAAATTCTGGAGGTTTTCCTGCTACCTCATCATGCTTGGTTTCAAGGTGTCGCCGAAGTTTAGCGGGTCTTATGCTGTCATTAGCCAAAATATCTTGACAAACCACACATAAATGTCGTGGTTCATCAGCTGGTCCTGTCCACGTAAATCCTAAACTCAAATACTGATCATCATATCGTCGTCTTTTGGGTTCAAGCCCTGAACTTGAAGGCTTTGAATCGGGGGGTCTCAGAAACTGATCCATTGTATTAGCAGCATGATTAGCAGGCATATACCCGTATTGGCGGGCTTGCCAAACAGAAGCGAATTCACAGCTATGGCCTTCTGGGTAAAAAAGGTTTTCTTATATTTGACGTATTATTTTTTTTTAGCTTTGTTTAATTAAAACGTTAAAATAATAAAAAATACATATAATAATTAAACTTAATAATTATATTTTTATCATATAATATTTTTTCCCGCGCCTCCCCTGACATGCTCTGGCGCCCCCCCAGGGGAGGCGCGCCTCACACTTTGAAAACCCCTTATCTATAAGATTAGTAAAATAAACATTTGCAGGTTAAAAAAACAGCATAGGAGGAAGTTGCCGCGGGCCTTGGTGCAGATGAAAAGTTTAAAAAGTGTATTTGTATATAGAGAGACATGGGTAACTAGATAGAATAGATAGGGGGATAGGTTGATATCTGCAGCAGCTGCGGAAGAGTTGCGCGCTGCAGATGCTACGGTGTGAAAGGCAAACGCCTGCGTGCTGCTTCTGCTCTCCATACGCGCTGCGCACGCTCTGCTCACGCGCTGAAACAGGCGTAACACTGCAGTGTTTTTCCATTTTCTCCATAAATATAAGTTGTATCAGAGCTGCAACAAGGTTTTGTCATCCTCTGAGAAAACGGTTGATGGTCATCTTGCAATGACAGACGACAAAAGAGCGCACTTTCCACACTTTTAGACATGATATGTGAACGGCCCCTAAAGGTTTCATGTGTTTGAAATGTCTCTTGCTCGCCAAGGCTGTATTTATTTAATCTAAAAAAAAAGTGGCTTAATAATTAAAAAGTGCTTAAAATAAGTGCTTTCTAATTTCATATATTTATAAACAGTATGATAGTAATAGCAAAGCTGAATGTTCAACATGATCGCTCCAGTTACTACTGTCACATGATTCTTCAGAAATTATTGGAATATACTGATTTGCTACATAGAAACATTTTTCTTACTATTATTATCAATAATGTAAATAGTTGTGCTGCTTAATTTAATATTATTGTGAAAACCAAGATACAAAAAAATGAATACGTTGCCAGTAGGGATGCCACAATTCTGAATTTGAAGCGCAAATGAAGCGGATTTGTTGCGCGGATAAAGCGGGGTTTGACGCGCGAATGAAGCGAGTAAACTCAAATGTTCACGCAGCTATTTACGCGCGAATAGCGAAATTTATCCGCGCGTTCCGTGGGGTGTGAACACAGCATAAAGACATGCGGTACATGTTTGTTAGTAGTGTTTGTGTGTGAATGAGAATGTATGGGTGTTTCCCAGTGACGGGTAGCAGCCGGAAGGGCATCCACTGCGTAAAACAAATGCTGGATAAGTTGGCGGTTCATTCCGCTGTGGCGACCCCAGATTAATAAAGGGATTAAGCCGGAATGCAAATGAATAAATTAATTTCCCAATAGAAATTAAGTAAGGATATTTTTAATGTACTTCCTTTAATATGTTTTTTTTTTACATAAAAAAAAAAGATTTCAGGTCAATATTATCAGCCCCTGTAAGTTTTTTTTTGTATTAACTACAGATAAACCCACTTTTATCAATTTTTTTTTTTTGTGCTTTATTTATAGAGCACATTTAAAAACAACAGATGTTGACCAAAGTGCTTTACAAAACGACCAGCATACAAAATCTATACCTATATTTAAAAATTGTGCAAAATATATAAAACAGGTTAAAATTAATTAATTACAATCAAAGGCAAGAGACAGAAGGTGATTTTTTAGATGAGACTTAAAAGCACCAAGTGAAGAACATGACCGGACCTGTAAAGGCAGACCATTCCACAGTCGGGGGGGCTGCAGCAGAAAAAGCCCAGTCACCTCTTGATTTCAACCGCGTTTTGGGGACAACTAGCTGAAACGTGTTTTCAGACCTGATTGGCCTCAATGACGTGTGCCAGTGAAGAAGCTCAGAGATGTAAGTCGGTGCCAGACCATTCAAACTTTTAAAAACTAGTAGCAATAACTTATATTGAACTCTAAATTGGACTGGGAGCCAGTGAAGAGACAATAAAACTGGTGAGATACTAGAAAAAAATTTTTTTCCAGTTAAAAGCCTAGCAGCTGCATTTTGAACCAGCTGCAGGCGTGCTATTGATGCCTGTGAAACTCCAGAATACAAAGAGTTACAGTAGTCCAGTCTTGACATAATAAAAACATTAATGACAGTTTCCAGCTCTTTAAAAGAAAGAAAAGGCTTCAATTTGGCAATGTTCCTTAATTGATAGAAACCACTTTTGACGACTGAGTTTATTTGCTTGTCGAACTTTAACTCAGTGTCAAAAGTAACTCCAAGATTTTTACGTGACCTTAGGCTTATAACTTGTTTAATTAACCTTACCTATATAGCTAACCTACACAGCAAAATATGGGAACCCAAAACAACTCTATGGGAGTTAATTTCAACACTTTGAAAGTGTCTCATGGGGTCCACTCAAAACAAAGTTAAATCAACACTTTCAAAAGGGTTGGCACATTGACACCGAAGTAAGGGTTAATTTTAACTCTGGGCAGAGTTAAAAAATGTAACTATATTTAACACCGCCTGGTGTAATATATTTATTTAATTCAACTCTCTTGAGTGTAAATATGGTAAAAAGGTCAAATAGACTGTAAATTATAAAATAAAAAACATTTTATTTGAAAACATTCACCACTTTAACAATTCATTCAGTTTTTAAAATGCAACAATGTCAAATATGCTTTAAATCTTTTATTAGTACAGACAGTATCAACAAGATATGTATGACCAGCGCTCAAAAGGCTGTTTGAGTCATTTGGTCCAAACTTGATGTTTCATCAGAGCAATTTGAAAGTTCAATATATCGTCACTCATAGTTTACTTCTGAACACATAGTTTTCTTGTGAAATTACATTTTAAACAACTTGGCGTGCAAATCTTTCACTTCGGGTGTTTCCTTGGTCCTCCATATCAAACACAGCAGTTTAAATGAAGGTATAAATGCTGTAAACTTGTGTAAAAACAAACTGGAGCTAGGAAATCTCATCAAGCATGTCCTGTGAATGAAGTGCTTCCCAGCCACAGGATGACCTTTTTATCCATGACGATGTAGCAGCTGCTGATCGCTCGTCTGGTGGTTCCTGATGCACGGATATAGGGTGATGCTCATCTAAGAACTCTTCAAGACTCCAGCATGACTAAGAAAAATGTTTAAAAACAAATAGCAATCAAATTCTATTATATATTTAAAAGAACATTTAAAGTAAATAAAACATTCAAGAAATCTAAACTCACCTTTTGAAAATCTTCATGATGATCCACAACTTGACTCTCCCAGCTGGTTGAGATGACAGGATATGGAAAAGTAGAAAAAACACATACATCACTGTTGGATCTCCAAAAACAATTAGTTTAACCACTATGGCTAGAACTGGAAAAACAGGCAGCTGTCTGTCCAGAATCCTGAATTTAACACAACACTTGGAGCAAAATTTAGAGGAGCTTAAAATCTTTTATATCATTTAGTGATGCTGACTTCCCCAAAATATTGGCCACAGTGTAAAAAATATTCATAAACTTACAGTTTTCTGTAAGCGTGTGCGTGCGTGCGTGCGTGTGTGTGTGTGTGTGTGTGTGCATGCGTGTTTCTTTACCAGTTAGGCCCTTTCAAGTCCAGTATTGACGCCACCTTTCCTGGAGTCCAGCAGATGTTTCAGGTCCAAATATAATCTAAAATATTAGGATAAGCAGAAGAGGAAAAGTGCAAAGCACAAAGCAAAGAGCAAAACATTATTTAAGTGACAGTTCACCCACAATACAAAACTTATCACCTTCATGTCATTCGTTATTCTCTAATGCTCTAATACCCTCTCAGCTAGTGAAACAAATACAGAACTTTATCAAACATACCTTCATTATTATCACCACATATGACCAAGAAGGTGTGCTTGGTCATTTCACCAACTCTGGAAATACACCATCCGTCTCTAATCAGCCAATCGTCACAGGGTCTTGTGTTATTGTATGGAAAACTGTAGCTGTTAAAAAAACAACAAAAAATTAGTATCTAACACATATGCATAACCTTCAGATAAAAAAAGAGAGATGAACATCACAAAGTATGCCTCACACTTTTTCAGATATCTTTTGATTCAGATGTTGATTATTGATAATAAATCTACAAATCAAACCTGTATCATCATTAGGCTGCTCAAATATGAATCAGTTGATTAATTTTACAGACAGGTGGCTGTTTACAACGCACTAAATTGTCTTTAATAAAACGGAAATGTTGTGTACAGTACATGCTAAGTTTAGCCTATAGTTTTAAGCACAATATCATGCGGGAGAAAAAAGCTTGACTAAGATGTTCCTGACTACAGAAATAGCCTAACTTACAAACGTCAGACAGCCCGAGTTGGGAAAAGTCGTTTTCGGGGGATACAGAGTTGATTTGCGGGAGAGATGAGTAACGTTACCTGAAGAGCGGTGGGGCGAGTTGCGCACGACGTACCTTAAGAACGGTGGGGGTGACTTGCGCACGACGTAACGTTACCTGAAGAGCTGGGAGGGATGCGGTGGAGAGGGGTGTGCAAAGTGTTTAATGACCGGGCGGGAGACGCGCGATTTCCGGGAGATTATCATTCATTTGCGGGCATCTACTTGGGCATCTGGGAATCTCTGTGCATTTGCGGGATAACGTTAACGTTAGTCCCGCAACTTCCGGGAGACTTCTGTAACGTTAAATGTCTGAGTGCAAACGCGGTCATTTAAAGACATTAATGTTAACATTCCGACTTTAATGGTTGTCAACACTTAATATAATTCAAGCGTACGTTGTCATGCGAGTCTATGGACTAACGGTATATGGACGGCCACGAATGAACCAGTTTAAAAGGGCCGCGGTGTTTAAAATAACCAAATTAACATACACGAATAACAAACAATCATATGTTTTAGTCAGGAAGCCTTTTACAAGTAAGCATATGTTCATTTACTCACCAGATATGTTTTAGAAACTCTCCAGAGCTTATGGAAACCGTCCTGTGTTGCTGTTAGCATCCGGGCAGAGTAACGTTAGGCTAGGCGGCTCAGAGTCCGGGGATTCCCTCGCTAGTTTGCTTCGAATTAAAGGAGAAGTGTCGATTTTATTTTACAGATGGGTAACAACGCACAAAATGGCATTAAGCGTGACAGAAATGTGTTGAACATGTACATTTGATGTTTTTATGCACTATGTATGCGTGGGCATATATAAAAAACATTCTTGAAAAGAAGTGAATAGTACTGCAGTTAAGCTAGATACACAAACGACCATGAATGAACTGCAGAAGTTTAAAATTGTCACTCCATTCTAAAGTTATTAACTTAACAATATGTTTACAACTGTATTTCCTTAAAGAAAGTCAGTAAAATACCAACATTTAGGTAGTTTGACTCACCAGTTGCTGTTCTAAACCTGGAAAATGGCGGCTGGAAAATTCATCAGTGACTGGGGCTGCATGAATTCCCGGATGTTGGAAATAACACCACCAAGTGTTGAAAAGATAACTCCTTGATTTCGCACTGAATAAAATCAATTCTAACTCTTATTATATTCATTTATCAAAATATAACTCTTTAACGTCAACACTTTACTCTGAAATGCTTCAACACCGAAAATTTAACTCTGATGAATTTGCTGTGTAGTTAAGCCTTTAAATTGCATTTTCAGCTAAACACTAGCATCCTGCAAAATAACGTAAAATATTGTGCACTGTCATCATGGCAAAGATAAAATAAATTATTTATTAGAAGTTAATTTATTCATTCATTCATTCATTTTCTTTTTGGCTTAGTCCCTTTATTAACCTGAGGTCGCCACAGCAGAAAGAACCACCTAATTAGAAGTTATTAGAGGAGTTATTAAAACTATTATGTTTAAAAATGTGTTTAAAAAATGAAACAGCCCTTGGGAAATTAACTGTGCAGCAAATTAACATTAACTGTGCAGCAGACACAAGCTCACTGTGATTGGCTGTTACCTGGAACTAAGGCGGTTCTGTCTCATTCTCTGTTCTTGTAACTGCCGAGTGCTCTCGAGCTTCACTGGACTGGGGATAAAGCCCACCTCACATCCCTCCTTCACCAAACGCCCGATCCACCAGTCATTATTATACTTCTGTTAACAGAAAACACCCAGCCTTTGAATCACGTTTAAGCAGCAGATACATTTACCATCAATATAAGAAAATATACCTATAAATATATTAAAGAAGGCTTCAATCATACATCAGATTACAGAAACAAACTAAGCAAATTAAAGATATTTGAAAATGTAGCCAATTAGTTTAAAAAAACACCCCCTTTCAAAGAAATGTAAGCCAAATTAAACACTTAAGAGGTGCAGCACATCATCTGATTGGGCAATAAAATGAAGATTGATCACAAACTTATTTTTTTTGCTGTCATAACAGTGTGATTTCTTAAACTATTACTTCAGGAACATCTGTCATTTTACAGGTGAAAGCCAAAATGCTTTCAACACATTTTAAGGTAAGGTAAGTGTGCTTGTCTGACCTCTTTGATGTGCAGGAAGTCTTTGGGTTCGAAAGAGATGGCCATGCCCTGAACAGGCACATCATCATTAGGGCCTGGGTTATAGCCAACGTTAGTCCTCACTGCAAACGCTACAGGCTTGGTCTTCAGAGAGAGGAAGTCGATGAGAAAGATAAACAGAGGGAATTAATGGAGAACTGTCTTAGGAAAAGAAAGAGAGAGAGAGAGAGAGAGAGAGAGAGAGAGAGAGAGAAAGAGAGAGAGAGAGATGGCAAAATACTCCAGGGTAAAAGAAAGGACACTCAGACTCATTGTCATTGGTTTTACAGGTTTACACATAGAAGTGATCTTACATACAGTGAAGAGGATGGAATATTACTGGTGAAAGATTTAGCGCTCCCAAATTCATCTCCCAGTGGAAATATTTTTTGTGGCAAACCTCAATTAACACTATATATTACAATACAATCATTCAACCAAGTGTGTGGTGAATAGGATGAAAATGTATCACAAAACGACAATTTTAAACCCTTTATCTGATAAAGAACCATGCATGGTCATTTATATAATACAGCTGTGGTAAATACATGTTAAAAAATATTTAATTTGAAATTTTATAGTGTCTTTTTCTAATGAGTGCATTAGAAATATTCAACAAAGTTTACTAAACTACATTCAAAAAGAAAATGTAAGCATTTTTATCAATACCTGTCCTTTAAGGTTAAGTGTGTCATTTGTAAGAATTTCAAGATACTTTTAAAAACAATTGTTTTCAACAAAGTACGTTAGACACACCCAAATAGAAAATAAAAAATCACGTATATTTTCAAATTTAAAAAAAAAATAAGTAACAATATTCTCCCACAATGGAAATATTGGAGAGAGTTGCCAGATTGATGACACCGACAGGAGCTTGCCTGACGATTGAGCCTTACAATGCAAGTAGTTCACCCAATGTTTACATTTGTAATTTTTATAATATTTGCTAAATAAAAAACACCTCATGTGGATTTTCATAACTCTAAATCTGTGTCTCATTTCAGAGAGTTTTCCTCGAAGACAATCTTCTGTGCCGAAAAATAATTGGGTAAACTGGCAGTGGGCTGGTTATAGAGACCAATTTAACCTTATCAGATAAAGATCTACTATATCTGGTAATTTAAATAAATATAACAAAAAAAATATTTTATTTTCAAGATAGTCTTGATACTATTTTCACAATAGTCTTGGAACAGCCCCCAGTATTCCCAATGAGTGCCCGACAAAAATGTGTAGCTGTGTTAAGAGTTCAGAAAGTCACGTAACACTGGTGGGTTATGTAAGTTGGCCCACATGGAATCTGCGCATGCAGAAATCCACAGATTTCCACAGATTTTTATCCCATCATTGTGTCTGTGTTTACTTGTGTAAATGTTTGCAAATGCATATTTATTCAGTTTTTCAATTAATTTCACAAATTTTATTGTGATATAATAATAGTTATATTAAAATGTTAATTTGATTTATTTACAATACAGTTTGTGAAGTCATATTTTCTGTCTATTAGTAGATGTATTAAACAAGAGACTTGCTTTGTTTACCAAATAAGTGGATCTAATTGGATTTGCACTGTAAACATTAAAACAAAGTTAAAATGTATTATTTTTTTATTTCATATATTAAGTTTTTAGTTATGATACGCTTAAAATAATTTCATAAATCCGCAATTTATTATTATTATTATTATTATTTTTTTTTTTTTACAAAATTCTTCCCAGAAATAGCAAAAATTGTCCTCAGGTTTTGTCTGCCCTAGTAATAAGTAAACTGTATGCAAACTTGTAGAGTGGTGCAAGGATTGTGTCACAACATCAGAAAAATAGATTTTAGGTTTTTAGAAAGTTTGCAATTAATGAGTAAAATAATATTTTGTACCTAGTGGTTGAACTAGGTATTCAAGTCCAAATTCAAAATATTGGGGAGGGTTGCCAGCTTGACAACACCGAAAGAAGTGAGTGTGCCTGATGATCAACCTCATCAGCTTTACGCTTGTAATATTTATTTTATTTGTTAACAGTGTTGGGGAAAGCAACTTTAGAAAGTAATCCATTACAATGTTGAGTTACCATAAAAAGAAACACAGCTAGTTACTTTTTTGGGGAGTAAGTAATGCGTTACTATTGAGTTACTTTTGGGTTACTTTTCTGACCTGGCTGAGGCTTTATCTCTTTTAAAAGTTGTGTTTATTTCTTTTTTTTTTTTTTTTTTTATAAATCTATCTCATCTAAAGTTTATATTTGTAATTTTTATACTAATTTGCTAAATAAAAACCACCTCATATGGATTTTTATAACTCTGAATCTGCATCTCTTTTCGGAGAGTTTTTCACCAAGGCAATCTTGTGTGCCAAAATATTAATGGGTAAACTGGCAGTGGGCTGGTTATAGAGACCAATTTAACACTTTATCATATAAAGAACCCATGGTTAATTACTATTTTTTAAAATTATTCAGAATTATTATTCAACATTGGGTGCCAAAATAGAATTGTGTAAACTGGCAGTGGGCTGGTTATAGAGACCAAAAAGAAGACTGACATTCCAACACACATTTTCAAAGAAAATAACTGACTTCAGTATTGCTTTTCTTCTGCAAACATATTATGATATTTTTGTGCTTAAGAAGAGTCAAGAGATATTTTTGTGCTTAAGAAGAGTCAAAAACTAACATTAAAAACTCCCACTCTAAAACACCAAAGAGGAAAATCTACAGGGAAACCTAGCGATTCCTAATACACAATATAATAATCAAGTGTTGTCGAGCGTTCGCACAGTAAAGTACATTAGATCACTCAGGGCAAAGTCTGATTTATAAATAAGACATGAAAAGAGAAAAACTGGAACAAGAGAGATGAAAAGAAAGACACCTTAGCCTTCTCCAGGGTGGCAAGAGCTTGTCTATCGGCTTCTTTCCTGAGAGCCTCAGGGTCCTCCTCCAGAGACACGTCAGAGTCTGAAGGACGACTGGTGTAGGAGTCTGCCGAGCCCTGCCAGAAAACACACAGAGAGCCAATGAGAAGGAGGGGGGATTTACAGCCTTTGGCACAGCGCTTGAAAAAGCTCTTTCTTAATTAATATTTCTTGTCGAAAAATCAAACGCAACAACAGTTTTACATCTCTTTTTCCAACAGGCCCAGAGAGAAGCGGCACAGATGACCACACACAGCAGTGAGTTACTGTACAATATGCAAACAATTTGTGAATGAGGAGCAGGTTGAGTGAGAGGGCAGGAACAGTGTGGGAGGACGAGAAAGAGAGCAGAAGGTACAGTACAAGTGCCAGAGAAGAGGAACGAAGAAAATAAGAGGAGGAAAACTGAAAGAAATACACGCTTTAAAGCAGCTGAGCTAAAGGAGATGAGATTTCCATCATTCTTACAGTTTGTCTGTCTGTCTGTCCGTCTGTTTATTCATCAATTGCCATCCATCCATCCATCCATCCATCCATCCATATATCCCTCCATCTATCTATCTATCTATCTATCTATCTATCTATCTATCTATCTATCTATCTATCTATCTATCTATCTATCTATCTATCTATCTATCTATCTATCTATCTATCTATCTATCCGTCTATCCGTCTATCTATCTATCTATCTATCTATCTATCTATCTATCTATCTATCTATCTATCCGTCTATCCGTCTATCTATCTATCTATCTATCTATCTATCTATCTATCTATCTATCTATCTATCTATCTATCTATCTATCTATCTATCTATCTATCTATCTATCTATCTATCTATCTATCTATCTATCTATCTATCTATCTATCTATCTATCTATCTATCTATCTGTCCGTCCATCGGTCTATCGGTCTATCCATCTATCTATCTATCTATCTATCTATCTATCTATCTATCTATCTATCTATCTATCTATCTATCTATCTATCTATCTATCTATCTATCTATCTATCTATCTATCCGTCCATCCGTCTATCCGTCTATCCATCTATCTATCTATCTATCTATCTATCTATCTATCTATCTATCTATCTATCTATCTATCTACCTATCTATCTATCTATCTGTCCGTCCATCCGTCTATCTATCTATCTATCTATCTATCTATCTATCTATCTATCTATCTATCTATCTATCTATCTATCTATCTATCTATCTATCTATCTATCTATCTATCTATCTATCTATCTATCTGTCCGTCCATCCGTCTATCCGTCTATCCATCTATCTATCTATCTATCTATCTATCTATCTATCTATCTATCTATCTATCTATCTATCTATCTATCTATCTCTGTTTGTCTATCTATCTATCTGTTTATCTATCTATCTGTCCATCCATCCATCCTTCCGTCCGTCCATCCATCCATCCATCCGTCCGTCTATCTGTCTGTGTATCCACATGACCAATTGAAAAAACATGCATATGCCTGTACTGATGTTTGTATTTGCTTTAGAGTCTGGTCAAGTTCATGAAGATACTAAAAGCAGAAACAGACACAGAAACACACACACAGACACAGACACACACAGACACACACAGACACACACACACACACACAGACACACACAGACACACACAGACACACACACACACACACACACACACACACACACACACACACACACACACACACACACACACACACACACACACACACACACACACACACACACACACACACACACGTTTGTTTTTGTGAAAAGTGGGGACATTACATAGGTTTCCATTCATTTTATGCAGCCCAAACCGTATATTGTATTGCCCTCACCCCACCCCACCCCACCCCTAAACCCTACCATCACAGGAGACTGTGTGCAGCTTTACTCCCTGATTAAACTCATCCTGTAGGATTTATAAGCATTTTGAGAAATGAGGACGTCACCAGTGTCCTCATATTTCACCTCCTTTTTGTAATACCTGTGTCATACCCATGTCATTATACAGATTTGTGTCCTGATATGTCACAAAAACACGTACACACACACACACACACACACACACACACACACACACACACACACACACACACACACACACACACACAAGCGTTGTGTCATTCATTTTCACAGTACAGCAGTGTCAGAACCTTTATATAAGCCTCCCACTCCTCTCATCTCTCTTTTCCCACTTTTCTCTGGTTTTCCTGTTTCTGTTTCAGGTGTCTAGTGGACTCTTATTCGTGGGAGGTGTGGACGAGCGTGCGGACAGCTGCAAGAATGACTCACTGGATGGATGCGCTTCTGTATGTGTGTGTGAACATGAGTGCAATGGGTTTGTCACATATTTGTGCGTTTGAATGTACGTGTGTGAGGTTGTGTGTGTGTGTGTGTGTATGTTTTAAATAGAAATGAGAATGTGTCAGGCTGACATATGCCATATGCAATGATGTTAAATTATTCATTGTGAAACAGGGTCACAGGAACCCTATCACCAGCTTCACTAAGCAGCAACAGATTGCACACACACTTTGCCTGCTAGACTATGACTTTTATAGCAGAGAGGTTATATTTGTGATTGTTGGTGCAGCAGTCATAAAGTGGGCTAAATCCAAATCCAGGCAGAAACGAAACACACAAACAGGACGTTTGTTTTTCTGTCGAGGGATTTTCCACTGACCTTTGCGTTTTGTACTAAGCTAATGATATGTCTGTAAACTTAAACTTTCCAAACTTTAAATAAGACTTTTTTTTTTGGTATGTTTATTAAATTAAACTGGTCTGGACTGGACTGGTCCTTACAGTACAGGGGCATCTAGGTTTTATTAGACTGTAAACATTTTCCACAAATAATCCTTTATAACTCTTTGACACTGATGGTTTTGTTCCTGCCTGTGCTATTTTGGTGACTGTCGCTTTAAATTCAAATGAGATTGTGCTTTTTTCAAAAGAGGGCAGAGCTACAAATGCCTGTGTGTCAGCATAGTGGCAGACTCAAAAACAGGACTAACATCCTATGCTAATGAGGGAGAGATCATCACTAGTGGGCGGGGATTTGCCCATCTGATGCCACGAACAAACAGAGAATGTCCAAAGTGTTTCTGCAGACGGTTTTTATTAAGTGTGATTATAAAAATAAAATGAACACATTTTTAGAAGCTGCTTAAATTCACACACTGTTGCCACACAACTGTGTTTAAACCCCATACAAAAGTGATTTTGCATAATGGGTCCCCTTTAAAAAAAATTAAATGTTATATATATATATATATATATATATATATATACACACACACACACACACACACACACACACACACACACAGATATTTTGGAAGAAAATAAAGTTGTAGTTATTCCACTTCAAAGTTTTATATTTAATTCAATTTATTACTCGCTGTTTCATTATCAATTGTGAAATTGTTGTAAAAAAGGAATACATTTTTTTATTATCTCTTTTCCTTTTCATTAAACAATTGTATTTGTATTGCTTAAAGGTGATACATCAACTGAACTTCTTCTGTTGAGTGTGATATGCTTTGCATACTGATGAAGCATTTTTCCAGAAATAAATGCAGCTGGTAGAAATGCTAAGGCCCGATTGTCTAAAATCAACTTGCACTCTGCAGCTAAACGTTCTGTTAACAGAAATGTGTTGAAACTGAACACAGAATATGTGCAGTGAGAAGACTTATGCTTTTAATGTTGTGCAGAGAATTGGTAGAAAAAAAGGACGTTTGTATGGGTGTGGCCAATGGAGGACTGGACAATGATTGACAAGTGATGAATTTCACTTGTTAATATAAGCTGCCAATAAAAATTTAAGTCAAATGAAAACTGTAGCACATCCCCTGAATGCAAATTTGCATTGCGGATACCAGAATTCTGTGAATCGAATTATTCATTTCTATACAATAAATTACTACGCTTTTTGAAATTAAAGAAAACCCTCCCCTGACCTTTTTTTTATCAAACACGCATGGAATTGATCAAATACTCCAACAAAATGCAACCATAATTTCAAGTATATTTCAGTTTTCTTGTTTCTTGTTGTCACATCATTACCCTAAAGCAGGGGTCTCAAACTTGCGGCCCGCGGGCCATTTGCGGCCCTCAGTGCAATATTTTGTGGCCCGCGCCGACCACTGTACTCTGACAGAATCAGCGGAGCGGGGAGAGAGAGCACTTCCCGCTCCGCTGATTCTATCTGTACACAGCGCGCTTGCCACTCAATGCGCGTTGTCGCGCGCGTTCTGATCAGCTGTGTTGTCGCGCGCCTACTGAAGGGCGGGACCGAGGGTGTGTCGCGTCGCGGGGCACTTTTGATCATTTTGGAAGGGCACTTTCTATGCAAGACTAAAAAGGGCATGTGGTCTGCACAGGTTGAGCCCTATGTGTGCACGTGCCTGCCCTGCATCTTATATATATTGATATTATAGGTAGATACAGACTGGTACAGACTGATGTGACTGGAGTGGGGTGGGGGTGTTTTATTTATACATATATACGCCTTTTTTTTAGGTGAGGGAATGGAAGTTTTGAGTGAGTTCCCACACTTTTTTCCATAGGACTTCAATAAGTCAAAGTACAGGTCTAGACTTAATGATGATCATTTTCAAGCCATACTGAGGGTCTCAACTGCTTCCGCTCTAAAGCCAAATGTGGTTCAGATTTGTGAGAAGAAGCGCTGTCAAGTCTCTGGCAGCAAGAAGTAGGCAAAAGATGCCATGTTCAGAGGAACTGTTCATAATCTTCATAATCTTCAATCTTATATTAATGTTCAGGACACTTCATGTTCAGAAGAAATAATTAAAACTGTTAATAATGACATTTGAGGACTTTTTTTTGTGAAATCCCTTATGCGGCCCAGCCTCACCCAGACTTTGCCTCCTGCGGCCCCCAGGTAAATTGAGTTTGAGACCCCTGCCCTAAAGCCTTAAATACTTGCCTAAAATACTTCAAACAAAATAAAGAACTGGTATGACATCATTTCGAACAAAATTAGGCCAAATCTAAGCTTGTAAACATTTTTGAACGACATAAGTCCATGATAATTACATTATAGATGTGGCTCTT